AGCATCTCTGCCCGATGTGTCGCCCATTTTGTGCATCGGAAGAGGAAATGCTCAACCGTCTCGGCTGCCTGTCCGCAACCACACATGCGCGAAGGCGCTGCGTCGATTCGATGTAAATAGTAGTTCAATCTTGCCATTCCGGTTCTTAGTTGTGCAAGAGTGGTCGCCTCTTTCCATGTAAGCGTGTCGTACAGCTGGCGGGTATGCTTTCCTGGCAGCGCGGTGTCGAGTAGGAGGCGAAAGCGGTGTCGCTGAATTTTTTGTTAACTATTTCAGGACGGCGGGGTTGGCCTGTGGCTTGGGTGGCTTTGCAGGACACATTTGTAGCAGGGAGGTACATACGTGACCGAATAGGCATTTACAGCAGCCACTGCAGCTCGCTGGGGACGAAGGGAGGGCTCGTGGTGACTATTCCCTCGGAATATCTACGTGTTTCTATGGGCTTTCGTGAGAGCCCCACTATCCGCCAATAGGACCTTTCTTCAAGCGGGGAATGGGCAGTTACAGTATTGAATGCTAGCTTCACCAACGGCACCCGCCGCCAATCTGAGCGAGTGCACAACACGATATCTTTTATTTCCCCAAGTACTCCAAAGTAATCGCCGAGCGCCCTCTACCGCTCAAGGGGATACCCCTGATTACAACCTCAGAGAAGCGCTCAGCCCCCAGACATAGCGGAGCCGTTTAGTAGGAAAGCCATTGCGAAGGCATTCTTCGGCCTTAATATCTCCGATGCCGAACACTCCTCGACGGTGGGAAGTCAACGCCCCAAGAAGAGCAACAAGATCAAGGCACCGACCAAAACGAAGCAAAAATCCTTATTCCTCGGATTACCAGTCGAAATCCGACTCAAAATATACGACCTACTTCTCGTCAGCCGATTCAACCGCTGGGACAACCCATCCTGATTAGTGCGCGAGTGCTTGAAGATGAAGACGGTCGTCCACACCCACCTAAAGAAGACGACGATGATTGGATGCGCAAGTTCAACGAAGATACTTTGGAGGATTTCAGAAAATATCAGAACGGAACAGACTTGCTGAATCCATGGGAGGAAGAAGCCGGTGACGCAGCATTCCCATAAGTACGTCGCTCCTTCTACCGACCATCGGCCTGTGCACGCCCTTAGAGAGCCGCGACCCAAGCTGGAGGTTGGGGAGATGCTCGACTGGCTCTTGCAGTTGGATCGTAACAGTGACGAACCTTACCTTAAGCTCTTCACCCGCATCCAACTTGGTCTCAGCAAAACGACAGTAGTAGCTTCTCTGGATCAGAACCAGATACGACACCGACAAGAAGATATCGTATCGCCAATCGGTGAAGTGATGAATGATGGCGTTGGTCGCATGTCACTGTTTCTTGCCCGCCAAATCAGGGACGTCCTTGGTTTGAGCGACATCCCTTCTGCGATCCAGGGTCGTCTGGGCTCTGCCAAAGGCGTGTGGATTATAGACGTGGAAGACAGCGGAAGCGACATCTGGATAGAGACCTGGCCCTCGCAAAGAAAGTGGGACTGCGACTTCCTTCAACAAGAACATCGGACACTGGAGATCAAGCCCGTTGCTGCACAGCCTCGATCCGCCAGCCTCAACATTCAGTTCCTTCCCATTCTAGAAAACCGTGCCAAAAACAAGCAGGCCATGAGGAAGTTTGTGGGAGACAGGCTCCTAGACCAGCTCAGCGACGAAATTGAAGCCCAGAAAGATGCAATCAAGCATCCGCTGCGATTTCGGCAATGGGTAAACGAAAACCTCGCCGCCAGGACGCAGCATTTGGCCCACGACAGCGTGCCGTTCCTTGCTGGGCTTCCTAAGTACAAAGAGGATCAGCTCAATTATTTGACCGATGGCGGCTTCGAACCAACCGAACAGAAATTCATGCAAAATATGATATGGGAGCTCCGGCGCGCAAAACGTGAAAATCTGCTGAAGAAGATGAGCATCGAGATTCCAGGCTCGGCGTACTTGTACATGGTAATCGACTTCTGGGACATTCTGGAAGAGAACGAGGTGCAAATATGCTTTTCATCTCCGTTCCGAACCGAACGCTTCTCAGACTTCATGCTACACGGATGTGAGGTTCTTGTCGCACGATCTCCGGCGCACCTTGTCAGCGATATACAGAAGGTCAAGGCTGTCTTCAAGCCGGAATTGCGCGCACTAAAAGACGTCGTCGTGTTTTCAGCAAAGGGAGACGTTGCGCTTGCCGACAGGCTTTCGGGCGGCGATTACGATGGAGACAGGGCTTGGGTGTGTTGGGAACCAGCTATTGTGTCTAATTTTGAGAATGCCACTATGCCGACAAAACCAGACATTTCGAAGCATCTCAGGAAGGATACAATATCGTACGGAGACCTCAGTCATGGAATAATCAAGTCTGTGGCAGCTTCGGCAATGATCAGTCGTGGCATTACCTTTGACATGCAACCCAGCTTCTTGGGAATCGCAACCAAGTTCAAGGAACAACTCTGCTACAACATGAACGACCTGAACAATGAGCAGGCTCTCTTGTTGAGCGCACTTCTTGGTAGCCTGGTCGACCAGTCGAAGCAAGGAATTGAGTTTACAGAGAGGGATTGGCATTTATTCCGAGGACAGATCTTAAATGGTTGTGCAATCCAGAAGATGAATAAACCGGCTTACGAACAAGAGAATTGGACGAGAAAATATGGCCCCGTCCATATCATCGATTATCTGAAGTTTTCGATCGCCAAACCCGCTATCGAAGAAGAATTGCACAAGCTCGGCCGGGACATGAACCTAAGTCCTAGTCCTAGCCGCGGATTGGCAACTCTCCCGTCAAACGCTGAGGCGATTCAAACAGCTGAGTATTGGGACGCTGATCTGGCAGAACCATTCAATGGATTTAAAAGGCTAGCATTAACAACTCCGGTGCTCAAGAACGTCTTGAGGAATTTGGATGAGGACTTGGACGCCATCAAAATGAATTGGACTACTGAGATGGCCGCGGTCAAAGATGAAGACGAGCGTCCAGATCTCAGTTTGGACGTCTTCAAAGATTGGTGCGCTATTAAGCCTCGGGCAGGTAAGGAGCTCGATTCCTGGTTTGTGGCAAACCTGAAGCCATCATACACGCCCGAGGAGTTCTCCACGTGGGCTTTGATCCGAGCCAGTGCCTCATTCAAGTGCTGGTACCGGCACAAGCCGAAGCTGCTGTGGCGTATGGCTGGCATACAGTTACAGTTCATCAAGTCAATGGCTTCGCGTGGTGAAATTCCTGTCGCCGTGGTACCGAGTATGTATGCGGCTCTGAGGCCTGACAGCAAATTCATCAGTCGGGCCGTTGCCCGAATGAAGGAGGGATTGAAGTATCCCGGGGTTGAAATTGATGATGATATCGCAGAGGACGCGTAAAGATTGTGATGCAGTGGTCTTCCATCAAAAGTCATGTACCAGAACTCGTTGCTGTCGGCATGGTCGTCGTGCTGATAGTTTTCAGCAATTCGAGGCAAATGACAGTGCACTATCAGAGGTGGCTTGCCTGCAGTGCTTGGACGATCATGTAACTGTTATGACATGAAAGCTGGACTCTGAACAATGACAATTCGCTCTTAAAAAAAAGTAACAATTTGGGTCCTTCAATCCTTTGAGCACACCTGCTGTCAAATGTAGACCGAGACGCTGCTGCCAACAAAGCCTTGCCAAGGTTCCTCCCCGCCAATCTTCATTCGCCACATGCCCATCAAATGTAATGCATCGTGTCTCGCAGGTTCGGATGCACCTGCACGTTGTTTGAGGGTGCAACGGGCTGAGATGCATTTGTGGTCGTCGATGCCGCGTCCGAGATGTCGGAAAGAGCCGGACGCTAAACGCGAGCCCGTTCACACAAAATATCCGCGTAGTAGGCCGGCGGGCAAATACTGACCGCCTTGGTGGCACGGCCGAAGAGGTAGCAGAGGTTACGCGTGAGCTTCTCTAACTGGTCCGCAGCCGAGTCACCCACGCCGTACTTCTCCCTAATGATCTCATCCAAAGGCACAGTATAGGGAGCAGGTCGGGCTGTCCACTTGAGAGCTGTGTGGGCGGTCAAGAAGAAATCCCAGCAACAAGCCTGAGTGACACCGCGGTCGACGACGGTGCCGTTTTTGATGTTGCGCGATTTCTGATCCATGTACACTTCAGACGTAGGGCAGAAGCGCGTCTGATGATGTTCGACGGATACGATGATGGAGAGCCTCGGGTGCTGCTTGGGCGGATAGAGCTGGTCACACGCCTTGCGGATCATAGGCAGCTCAGTTGTGAGGACCTGGGTAAATTGGCCTTCCTAGACGCCGTCTCGATAGATGATGTGCAATTCAGGGAGTCTGTTTTGGTTACGCTGACGCCATAACAAGAGGCGAGACTTGAACTTCTCTGTGAGCTCATCTCCAAGCATCTCCTGACGGAAAGGCTGTTCCCACGCAACAGCCGGCCATTGTCCGAGGTCTTTGTCAACACTGCAATCATTCCGACCAGGCTGGGCGCTGCGCTTTTTTCGTTAGACATGTTCGTAGGATGAGTGACATCGTAGCCAACAACCATGGCTTTACCTGAGGTGACAATATCGATCGTATCCTTGACCACATGGTTGGTGCCTCCATTCTTGAGGTTCCTTTTGAGACCAATGTTGGCGCATGTCTGGAGGTTATGGAGACATTCACAGATCTGTGGCAAGTGGCTATTAACGTGTGTCCGTACGATTGACGAATGTAGCTAAATAAGAGGATGAAGGAACGTGTTTCCGACGCCATTATCTGCAAACGTCCAACAATGCTTTCTTTTATTCCTTTCACTTAGACCTCTCGTCGCATCCTTTCCCACTCTGCATACCAGCGTGGAAGCTGGTCAGCCGCGTAGTCCCAAGAGAGGGGCTGTGTGAAAGTTTGCAAGTCGTTTTCGTCAAATGCAATTGAAGAAGCCGTGGGATCAAAGGCAGCTGGCCGAGCTCCAGGCTCAATCTTGAAAAGCTCTGCGCGGGTCCATCTGCTAAGGCGTTCTCTGACAAAGCCCTCCCAATCACTGAATTGTCCATCCGTAAGTGGACGGCGCAGAGAATAGGAAGAAATCTTCTTCGCCGTCAGGGTCAGCACGTGGCGACTAGTTGCACGAAGGTTTCTTCGTCTGCCCGTGCTGTTCCCGAACTGAGCGGATAGAGACTCATGCGTGATCTCGCAACGGGAGTGCTCGATAAAGTGGGAAAGTGTGGAAGAGGGTGTACCGACGCTGTCTTGAAGATGCACAACTAGGGATAACTTATCGCCTATGCGCCGATGGCCCAGACCTTTCAACCCTTCAGATGACCAGTCCGGCCAATTGAAATCACGATTTGTCCATCCTTGGTGCGCATACTCGACCAGCCTGCGACCACCTTCATTGCCCAAGTCTCTTAAAGGATAAAACACATGCTTTGTATGGTTAAGGCTGGAAAGAGCGAGTATGCCTTGTCGCAGAGTATGAGATTAAGGTCTGCAGTTGTGCAGGAGGTTTGCAAGATGGTTAACAGGGGAAATGATGCAGTCTGAACGATGCGGATTGTCGTTTTGCGCTCAAGATTTTGAAGCAGGAGGATGCCGTGTATCTGTGCCAATAATAAGCTTCGACTCTGTCCGTGAAGGGGAGATTGCTATAATACGTCTCTATCTCGCTCGTCAGTTGCGTCCTGCATTGAACTGGTGACATAGCTCTCCTCCTCTGTGATGTATTGTGTGAAGCATTCCGCCTTCTGTCCGTTCTGGACAAACACATCCAAATACAGAGTCTGCGAACATCCACGGACAAAGAAGTTGAGCGCGAACCCGCGCGAGATTATGGCGTCGCAATCCTGCATACGTTGGCGGAACTTATCAGGTTCAAGAACGAACCCTCGCAGGTGCGCATTCAGATTGAAGAGCGCTCCCCGCAAACGCGCAGGAAGCCAGCGGAATGCTTTACAGACCATCTGAAGCATGAGGATATCTGAAATATTCAGATGATACAAAATAGATTTCACAATCGGATAACAACGGCTAAGATCGAGTAGACTTTCCAGGTTCGCTGCGTGGCGATCGGGCTGAGAGGTCATGGCTGAGATAGGACGAGGTTTACGAAGCTGGAATGAATAGTTTGACGGACTCTCCTCAGAAAATCAGTGGCTTCACCTGCAGGGAGCCGTCGCAATTACCACTAGCAGGCCGTAAGAGTGGTTATCTCGTTTCGCTTGAGGTACTATGAAATGGATGTTGGATGTGGGGATCTAGTTGTTTCATCACTGAATATGTTCATCCAAGCGGAAGTGCCGTTTATCAATTTTCGCGGAGCTGTTGCGGGGAAAAGGTGGTGAAGCTGTCACAAAATGCCCGTCACGTGCTGTATCACATGTATATCACCTACATCCTGTATATAGATCTTTTTTCTTTTGTCTATTTCTACTTTGGGAGGTTAAGCCACTTACCACACTCCGTATGCCCATTGCTGTGTGCCATAACTCGTGACAGAAGCCGTCATCGCCGAGCCTATCACAACAGCCTATCCACTCATCATAGCAGTGCCTATCGTGGCTCTGGTTACTCCACGGCATACTGCACCTGATTTTAACATCAGAGCGAGCGATGAATAATTTCGAGAAAAGGACAAGACACTCTCAGGCCCTTCGAATGCTGCAAATCACTCTCGTGGCCGGACTGACCGGTTACGTGATCGGAAACTCTCAATTGATAGACCCTCTAAGGATCCTTCGACATCCCCAGCATTGGCCTAAGAACGCCGACAAAAACCCCAGGCGCTTTGGCACCATCTTGAACCTATCAGCCATTCAACACCTTCTGTGTGAGTGACGTCAGGGGGCCAAATTAAGAGGGAAGGTGCCTAACAAGTTCCGTGAGCCAAGTGACAGACGCTAGTTGCGGTCCAGCGAGTCGACGCAATTTGATGCCATCGAGGATGTTTGACGGCTATCTGCTCTCGTGGGTATACGAAATGTCGGCCTCATACAAGCGTCTGCTGGCTGCCCCGGGTGTAGGCCACCTAACTCTGCTGTAGAGGCCCACATTGGTACGGGACACCATCGGTCAAGCGTGCCGTGGGCATTGACAAGACCATCTCCTGCAACTGCCTAGTATGGCTTATCACGCCTTCCTCCGTATGCATCACGGCGCAAGTGTTGTAGAGGCCTTGATGGGTGCGACCGGTCTAATTTACACACTGGTGATACAATAGGTACTCTCTGCCGACCATCTGTCTGACATAGAAAGAAGACCTAGCTGCTGTCTTGAATACCGTCCATGTTGGTCGCCGAGCCATACCACTAAGAGATGCTTTCTCCGCTGAAGTCACAAGACTAACGTACGTCCAGACTAAAGCATGATCGGCCTCCTGCAGCAGTAATAAACTCTACGCATCCTCCTCAACAATTAACGAACAATACCAATGCCGAGACGTACTGTACGAGACTTTCCATACGTAGCCCGACGTTTGGCCCCTCTTTAATCTATCGGGATCCGGAGCTCACAGAAGTTCATCAGTCGATCAGCCACAATTCGACCGGCCGCGTGCGATGCTTAGCTTGCCCATAGTACGGCGATGTGATAGCGAACACAGAAAATCGAAGACAGGTCATTTTTTAGATACCCTCCCGCTCTTGCGTCGGGCATCAGTCCGTGGTACGTTTTTAGGCCGACGACAACACCGTTGCTTCATAACAACGTACAAGGGGGAGAACGCTGCATCAGAAGCGATTCTAGTTGTTCACATTCGCTTCTTGTCAGATAATCACGCATAGGTCACCTACGTTCAGACCCTCGGCACGGTGGCCCTTTCCGAGGAATAAACGGCTTCCATAGGAGAGGTATTGAGATGAAGTCGGATTAAAGGCCAAGTACAACGTGTGATTATGTCAGAGAAGGGAAGAATCTGCGTGTTGCTTATACTAAGGTCATTGCGGGGCATATATGGCCAGAAGCTCTTCCTCCTGGAGGGCGAAAGGATTCCAGGTTTGGGAAGATGAAGCACCACAACATCAAACTAAGCGCTACGCTTGGTACAGTCGGCACCGGGTTTTGGCTCCCAAAGAAAAGCTACGTGGATCTCACTCTTTGTCACGAGTTGTGGCACGCAGCAACGGGCATACGGAGTCTACAAGATGTAATGTAAAAACGTGTGATAAAGCACGTGACAGGCCGTTCGTGGGTTGCGGTTCTGGTCCCCGTTACGTGACACTCTTTCACTCTACAACCCTGTTCCTAGGTTCGGGTGACTCGCAACTGCCTCGGTGTCATTGCAGACTGTTGGCGGAACGTGCAGAACGCAGATCTATTGTGGCTGATTCAAATTGATACTAAGGAATGGCACTGCTTAAGCTGCTGCCCATTGCTCTCCGCCTCTGAGTGGACAACCATGATCTCGTGTCGAGGCGTAAGCAAGCCAACAGCCCCAAGGAAATGCTGGGTAGGAAGCGGTGTAGATGAGACATATGTATGTGGAGTCCTAACTCTGTTGAGAAGCGCAAGTATCAGCTGCAGGAGCCCGACCATGATCTAGCTAGAGGGTTTTGTCTCGCGTGGTAAACACGTCATGCCATTAGGTGGATTTAAACGCATCCCCCTTCCTGAAAGCTCGAGGAATTCAGCTGCTACGAACGTTGCCCGCCTAGATTATTGTGGCTAATGTAGAGATACAGCCTGCATTGCAAACTACCGACGCTTTATCGGTTGCACCGTCATTTCGCCATGGCCTTTAAATGCGGTAGCTGCACAAGAGCTTTCGACTCGCAAACTAATCGCAACCAACATGTCCAGGACACACGCCATACAATCCCAGAGCTTGAGTGTCACACTTGCGGCCGCTCTTATTCATCAAAGGTGGCCCTATACCAACACCAAAAAGATACCAGTCACCAAAAGGTTCTGTGCCGAGAAAACACCCCTAACAGGCGCCGCTGACGTCGTTCCTATTCAGAAAACTGTCGTGGCCGAATATTCTCAGGTGTCAACCAACGTGAAGCTATAGAAGCCGCTCGATGAACTAGAGATATATAGTCTTATTGACCTCAGTGGCCAGGCTGCAAAGCTCCACATGCAGTTTCTCGGCCTCACCCCCGGCCAAGAGAAGAACGAGATCGATTCAAGCCCTCTGCTCCTTGTACCGACGCTCCAACAGTCGCCCTCTCTGCAGTGTGGCCTTCTGGGCGGAATACTGTCGGAGGATGGCCGGCCATCAAAGGAATCGCGCATCTTTTACAATGTGAGCTGTCCATCTAGCATCTCCATCTGCGGAAGTCAGGGTTCAGGAAAGAGCAATACCCTGGCATGCCTGCTGGAGAATTGCCTGATACCTAGCGATTTGGGAAGATTGGCTCATCCACTTGCCGGTGTCGTCTTTCACTACGACAGATTCGCGTCCGACGATGGTGGTCTCCCATGCGAGGCGGCTTTCCTTCCCTCCCATGCCAAGGTATCGGCTCGCATTCTCTGCGCGCCGACGAGCTTCTGCACCGTGAAGGTAATGACGGGGTCTCAAAGTACAACTACGTCTGATGGTTGGCGGCTGACGCAGGTCATTGGGTTTTAGAAGGTTTATAGCGGCATTCCTCAAGTCGACGTCAAACCCCTCAGAATCAGTGGGTCCGATCTCAATACCAGCAGAATGCTAGACCTCATGGCATTTCAGGAAGGTGCCAAACCACTCTATTCAAACGTCATGCAGCGTATACTTCGAGACATGCGACTCGAGCAGCAGGAGAAGGGCTCGCAATTCGACTACGCTAAGTTCAAACAAGCACTCGCGCGGGAGAAGTTCTCACAGGGGCAGCAAGGTCCTTTGCAACAGCGTCTCGAGACACTGGAAAGTTTCATGATCAAAGGAAAAGCCCTAGCCGACGAGGAGATCTATTGGGCGCCAAAGGTAAGATGGCATCGTCCGAGCGCTGTTTTTGCAATGGCTGACGCATCACCAAGGCCGGGCAGCTTACTATCATCGATCTCTCTTGTCCCTGCATCCCGGCCGGAATGGCATGTCTGCTCTTCAACATCTGCCTATCTCTCTTCCTGGAGCAGAAGTCGGACGTTGGTCGCGTCGTGGCGCTGGACGAGGCGCACAAGTACCTCGGGCAGCCAGGAGAAAGCCAGGTGCTGACGGACTCGTTGTTGCAGGCTGTCCGCCTTCAGCGACATCTCGGAGTTCGGATGTTCATATCGACGCAGGAACCTACAATATCGCCGAAGCTTTTAGAACTATGCACCGTGACGATCGTCCACCGTTTTTCGTCGCCCGATTGGCTGCGGACCCTCCGCCGTCATCTCGCGAACGAGGACGCCACTCCCGTGGACGAGGCGAATTCAGCTACACCTGGGGAGACACGCGCCGTGACGGACTTGTTCCCCAGGATCACGGCTTTGCGTACAGGACATAGTCTCGTATTCGCACCCAGTGCACTGATCGGGAGGTCTCGGGATGCGGGGGGGCCCGCTGATGGCTTTTGCCGGAACGCGAGTGAGCCAACTACCATACAAGTACGTTCTCGGCTCACAAGAGATGGGGGGAGGACGGTGATGGCTAGGCAGAGCGCGTAGATGTGGCTCGCATAGTTGCGTGGGAGTGTGGCTCGCCGTGGGCTCTGTCACGATGTAGAAGAACGCTGTGCATTTTCAGCGCGGTTGATAGGAATAGACGCGCGGGTGGATAAGTGAGCGCAAGAGTCTGCTTGCCTGGATATGGTGGTCCACTATTACGGTTTGTTGTACGATTGGTGACTGCGGCGCTCCACAGCCCCGCGCCCGTCTCCCCGCACTCATCGGTTCTTCCATATTTGGTCGACCAGACTCCCCGCTTGTGCTGTGCAAGCAAAAGAGGCCTCTGGCTGTTGCCTTGCGCTCTCGCCATCTGATGGTGCGGGACGCACTGTGCAGAGCATGCACCGGCTTCTGATGTGCCTGGCAGCCCGCTTTTCTTCAGGTGCCTGTGCATCTAGTAAGCCGTGGAAAGGACCGCTTGGGCGGCTTATGTTAGGCAGGAGACATCCTGCCAGGTCTTGCTGCGCGGACAGTGCCCCTCAGCCAGGGTTCACATTGCGGCTGTCCTGCTCTGCCATCACGGCTCTGTCGATGCGATGAGCGCCATTATGCGCTCGCCCACGCGAAGCGAGTCGCACTCGGTCCCGGCTCGGCACATCGCCCTGCGGCTGTTTGTAGCCTTCGGACCAAGCATGCTCCAGCGCGAACATAGAACCCGCTTTGCCTCGGCCACATCTGGCACCTCACGCAGCCAGCTCAAGCTGACATGCTCCCTCCAATGACTACGTAGCAGCCATATACGTTGACAGACCAACTCGTTGCAGACAGCTCTGCGTTGTTGTACATACTAGAGTCATGTGCGCTTCGTCACGTTGTGAAGCGGCTTTGCCGCATCATCACGTCCACATTTGGCTGCTCCGCAGATCGGGGTGAACGCTGCCGTTTTTAGCGGCCTATCCAACTCGACTGTTGTCGAGCAAAGCGCTGACGACGTGGGTCTGACTTAAATGTACAGTAACGGCTGCTCCAGAGGGTGGTCCGCGTTCATTGTACAGTATCAGTCGTGACTGTTCTGGCCTTCAGTGGTTGAGCACGAATTGACGGCATCGCCAAACCTGCTACGAGCGGCCCATGAATACGGTGTCCTTCACCACCGCCAGACAACCCCCAGTCGCCTAAGAGAACACGATGAAGTGTGCCGACACTTTCGGCCGGTGCATTGTATGCTGCAGATGCCCAATGCGACCTCACCCTGCATGTCTCGCACGGGCCCATCTCATGTTCTGACCGTTGCAGCCAAATACACAGCTGCCACTGTTGCACAAGTCATCCAATGAAATCCGCTCATGGATTCGCTTCCACAGATCCACCTGGACTTGCTCTCTAGGTATAAGACTGAGTCCGAAACCAGCATTCATCACCGCGTTTGTCTCTTGACTAGCGTCAGCGAAGCCTGACGCGATGGCTCACGTCGTGACTGAGGATACTCCATACGTGCTCCGCGTCCTTCACCACGTCTCCAATCACGTCGATCAGTACGAAGCCCGTCCGCAACCAGTCAGAGACTTCCAAGATGAGCTTTCATTGCTGATCGGAGCTGTACGACTGGTTTTCTGCACCCCTGGGATCGACGTTACAGCTAGCGATTTGGAAAAGTCTCTGGGCCGCTGTGCTTCCATTCTCCAGTCTATTAGCACAGCCCTTTTCGGTTTCGCTACTGAAGAGACGCACGGCTTGCTACCCAAATTCAGCTCGTGGCATGTCTTCCGCTACAAGACGTTGAGCATCGCCGACTGTCTGTACATCGTGCGAGGATTCAAGTCGGACTTCCTCCTTGCCCTTGCGAAAGCCGCTCCGTACGTTTCTGGACAAATAAGTATGCGAGTATATCGAAAGCTGACTGGTTGAGTGCGCGCGCAGCGACATCGTCACGCTGGTTGGTCTTAAGTGCAAAAGCGACTATGATGCTGCTCGGAGAGACGTAGACTTTCTGGGCCAGACTCTAGACTTGCTTGCGAATCAGCAAGAACCCCAAAGGTAGGTTCCCCCTCCCCTCCTACCACGCAAGGCGCTTTGCCATTATTCACAGTTATCCAGCAGGAGGCATCTTGTGCAAGCGACGGATCCGGCAGCACTGTCGCGTGTTTTGCAACCAACCAGCAAGCATGGAGCGACGAATAGCGCAGGCACACCACGGCAATTCTGTGTAGGAAATGCGATTCCCAGCCAGAACACACGGGGACTGGACGTCGAGATTGTTCCTACGACACACGCCCGACACCGCACCAAATGGCTGGCTGAGATCGACGCGGAAATAGCAGTCGTTTGTAACGTCGATGGCAACCCTTGGAACTGGGAGGGGGCTGGCAAGGACTTTCCGGCCGCGTGGAGGGGTTTCGTTGCGCACAACAAAGTCTCTCAAGAGGCCATCGACAGGTTGTCGGTACACGCGGTGGCGCCGCCTCCATCAAAAGAAGAGGCGTGGGTCGTCAAAGAAGGTCAGCTTCGGATGGCATCCGTTGATGCGAATGCCGTCTCCCAAGTGGCTGTAGCATTTGACTTCAGGCATGAAGCGCAGGACTCAACACACCAAGACCCGCGGCTATCTGACCTTGAGATCCGACAACGGCGGCTTGCCTGGCTCAATCAATAAGACTGCTTGCAGATTTCGGCTGCTCAATAGAACATGGACTGCGGAAAAGTGTACAAGACTCATCTGCGCGCGCGACCGTTGCCTCCATCGGCGCGAATTGGCCGGAGCTGAAGGACATTTTTGACATCACCGTCAATAGCAGACATGTCAAAATTGTGCGAGCGGCTAGTCTTGCTAGCTAGGTCCATTGACGTAGGATGTGTTTCGGTAGAATGCTTGGGTTGTGTTCCAATTTCTCTGCATCCGCCTTCGACCATACCGCTGAACCTGGCCACCTACTTTCGGATGACTTGCTTCTGCAGGTCCACAGGCGGAATTGTGACGGAGAGGACCTGGAAGAAAATGGTGGACTTGTCCAGCACCACAGGGCACCAGCCGTGTATGCAGGAAAGACCATGGAACTGTCGAAAGCGTCAAGATACTTTACTGTATCTTCTCCATGTGGGAGGAGGGGCGGGCAGTATCCAGATTTCAAATCGAGTGAGTTGCTGCATACAAGGGTACAGCACCCGGTCCAGAATATGGAGGGTCTGCCCGTGTGAAAGCGCCCCTCTTTCTGATCCCGCCATGTCGCCGATAGTATCGTGCCGCGCACTAAGGAGTAGCTTGCAAGGAGACCTTTACGGGGCACGCCGTTTCGCAAGTCTCAGCGCCACTGTCATCGACACCACTGTGTCTCCCGCTCGCGATATACAGAAGCTGGCCCGGCACGCGATTTGTCAAAGGGTTGAGCAGCGCCTCCCGATTGGCGCATCCGGTGCCTCGCCCCATATCCCTTGCGAACGAACACCTCGATAGTGTTATGGAGCTTCTGCGGAAAGCCATACGCTCCGGATGTGGCTGCCGTTCCACGAAAAGTCTTGGAAGGCACCCTTTGACAGTGCAGTACTCTGGGCACGGTGCGGGAGGGATAGCATACCTTGGGCGTGTGACAAGTGGCGGCGAGGGGCTGACCAAGACGTCGCAGCTCCTGGCGCTTAATTATCCCCTGTGACGCCGAAGATAGGTCTCGCTCGTAGCGCCCGCTTCAGGCCGAGGCAGGCCTACCCTAGCAATCACCATGGGCAGACGATGCTATTGGGGGCGCCCGTAAGCGCAGCGCGGGGGGGGGGGGGGGGGGGGGCTTCCCCGGCGGGGCCCGGGGGCCCCGGGGGCGGAGCACCCGTGCCGGGGGGGGGAGGGGGCGACGGGGGGGGGGGGGGGGGGGGGGGGGGGCGGGGGGGGGGGGGGGGGGGGGGGGGGGGGGGGTGACTTACCAGGCTGTGCCCGGGTGCCGCAGCGGGGAACGACACTGATGCTGTGTGGGCAGCGACGCCGCAGCGAGGCGGTGAGTGCAACGAGCAGAAAACAGGGTTGTCGGTCGATCCTCAGCGGCGAGGTGATCAGGCAGGCGTTGACATCGTGAGCTTGCCGCAGCGCCTACGGAACCTTGCCTTCCGCGCTCTCTGTGCGCCCATCATGATCCCGTCGGTATGCCTACCCACTGCCCGAGCCAAACAGGGACGTAGTCTGGAGACAAACTGCCGACGCGCCCATTCCTCTCATGGACTTCTCCATAGTGTTGCCGTCGTAGTCATCCACCCGGCCTGCGTCGTCATCAAGTTTAGTGGTGCGGCCATATCGCATTGGACATTATGAACGTCGACAATGGTGAGTTCGTCGGCCAGAATCGCCCGCAGAGACTAATCCGTTCAACCAGAAGTTCACCAGCAGCCGCCACCTCCCTATCGACCCTTTGAGACAGTAGCCGTTGTCGCAAAAGCATCTTCTCGACTCGCGGGTGGAGAAAGTCGAGCATTACCCAAGCTACCTGAGGGCCGCTGGAACCTGGCGTGCAACATCGGCGTGACGAGACCGCAGCTGCAACTACGCAGTGATGGAAAACTCTCCTGGATGCATGTGCCTGAGGATGCGAAGATCAAGGGGTTTGAGAGAGATGGGTTTTTTTATCATAAAAGGCGCTGGTCAGACAACGGTGGCCTTTCAAGACGCCGAGTGGACGTGCAGTTCGTCAAGCACTGCGGGAATGCTTCTGTCAGATCCTCATCGCCAAGTGCGTCTGATGCGGCTGGCGCAAGATTTGGTCGTCTACGAGCAGGCCAACGTCAACAAAGAGCCGGGCCTTCGTCGACCTTCGATGGCCAGGGAAGGCCAGTCGGGGCCGCTCACGGTCGAGATAGGATCTTCCGGAATTCTGACGATCACTGGTGCGGCCGTGTACCAGGTCGACGGCGATGGGGACGATATCGTGATGGTCACGTCGCACCAGTACCGAGACGGCCGAGACAACGCTTCTGGAGTGGCTGTACAGGATTTTTCGTTATGGGATAGGAAGGGAGGGACATTCAGATGGACGCACAGTTGCGAAAAGCCAGGACGAATATGGGGCTTTACAGAAACCTTCATCCTGATGAAGGTGGGAAACGTTCATTTACAGCGTCGGAATGACGGTAAGACCTACGGTACCTTCCTGTGGCCATCGATCAAAAACTTTATCGAGTTCACTCCGCATCACGACCATGGACCGGTCATTAGCACAAATGGATTGCTCTTGCGCAAGCCATGCAGTAAAGCTATTTTCGTTTGGCAGGTGCGAGACAAGCGCGTTCATTTTCGCATCTGGGAATCGGCAGCAGACATTCAAGGACATCTGGCGCTCCGTGGCAGCCTTGACCAGCTTGAGCTGGTTCTCGTCGGTCAGCAAGCCAGGTGGACTCAATACGAGGTAACGGAACCAATCTACAAATGGAGCCCTCTTCGGAGGTTCATGATGGAGACGTTTTGAGGATTGGTTGGCGGAGACATCGAGCACGCTCGATATAGACATAAGCCCGATGTGCTTGAAGGTCTCGTTTGTGTGGGCATTAGAAGGCCCATTTCAAGTTTAGTCTGAGAGCTTGTTTGAGGGCCATCTGTACGATGCGGCAAACGAGATGGAAGTGTTGACTGTTGATTCTATGGTTCTGTACACGCCTGCATCATTTACATAACAACCATCTGCTTTCGGTTCGACGTGCTCTGACTCCATGACAAATCACGAGAGAAAGGTGGGGTGGAGCGCGAGGTAAGGAGGGGTCGTGTCCACGAATAACCCAGGTCCGACCTCCTGTGAGTGCACCATACGGTTTTTCCCCCTTCTCATTTTCTCCTCAATTTTTTTAAACTTGGTCATTCCTTTCTTCTCTGAAAAGGAATCAACTTGATCAAAAAAATTCAAATGAGCAGACTCAGACCGAGCCAACCGCCAATGATTACACAGTATAGTGCAATGACGCAAACGATACACGACAGAACTGCGCAACCCTCATCCCGTAGGAGCGTCGTGGTTTACTCAAGCCGAGCCCACTTCGGTCAGTTCTTTGTGCGAAATCGATTTTACAACATCTACGTCTGTAGCTCTACTATCGTTTTGCTATCATCGCAACGACCAATCCACATGCGCCAGTGTACCCTGAGCAGTCGCAGCGCCTGTATTTCTGGCACAACCACGGATGCGGGAATCATTCAAGCAATCGAAAAATACTACGCCAACGGCGCATTTGGTGCGGACAAGCTATTTGGACTGATCCAGTTGACATCGACAACACTCACGAATATCCTTCTACGAGAAGAACGCGTGCAACTGTATTTGTCAGCGGATGGTCCTCTTCTCGCGCAGACCATTACAGTCACATCTGGTTCGTTCCTGTTCATGGGGGAAATGACCCTGGCGACCGTGGCGGCGGTAGCCGCGATCTTCCAGCTGCCATGTCCTGGGAGGCAGGGCGTTTTTTTGATCACGGAGAGGCCGTGATAGACCCCCTCCCCGATGCGCCCGTGTGAACTTGAGATCGCCCAGCTTGCGATAAGTCCGTGTGTGCTGGCATAAGGGTTGTAATGTTGCGATCGATGGTCGGTACATGCGTGCGAGAAACATCTTCATCCCCGGCTCCCGCACGACCTTGAATGCCATCTAGGCTTCGCTTGCGCGCTCTGCCGAACTGTCTGAAGTCGCCGAAAATCAGTCTGCCGGTGGTGTTGGCACGCAGCCATACACACATAGATCCCAACCCCCAGACAACCCTTAGCAAGGGCGAAAGAGGCAAGAATGAATCCGGGGCACCAGCGGAAACCTGGGACGAATAGAACGCAGAGGGCCCGGAAGGCATTGTTTGAGGGCAATGTGGCAGGACGGTGTGCTGTAGAGCAAGGAGTCCCGGCCTTTGATCATCATGGAGAGGAAGTGAGGACAGAGATGGTGATGGTCGATGCTTTTGGGCTCGAAAGTCTGGGCTTCAATTTCGTATAGCATGGGTGAGCAGGATATGTCCAATCTCTGCGTGGAAGCCCGCCATGGCAGCGTGCACGGCGTTGCCAAACCACCCAGCTGCCGAATGTACGTCGGCTCCTTCGTCAAGCAACATCCGTACTATCTCGATGCTACCTCTATAAGAAGCTGCTTGAAGAGGACCACCATAAAACTCGTGGTGGGCGTTGATGTCTGCCCCCTTTTCAAGGAGAATCTTCGCAATATCTCCATACCCTTCCCAACACGCTATTTGGAGAGCGCTGCGAGAACCACTTCTCACATTGATCTCGGCTCCCGCCTTCAACAGCGTTTCGACAATCCCTGCGTATCCTCCAAATGATGCAGCTGCGAGGGGATTGCCATAGGAACCGCCCCCGGCATTCGTATTGGCGTTTTTGTCCAGCAGAAGTTGTACGATTTCCCGACGTCCTGTGAGTGAAGCGGCTTGAAGGGCGCTTCCGTAATGCCCGCCAGTTGTGTCGATGTCAGCTCCTTTGTCGAGGACTTTACGTGCCAAGAGTCCATGTCCTTCGGCGCATGCAGCTTGGAGTGCGGTGTTGTAGTGTCCGCCGGCCGCGTTGACTCTGGCACCGTCGTCTAGCAACATTTGAACTATGCTTTCGTGACCTTCTGCACAGGCAGCCTGCAAGGCGTTGCCGTACCATCCACCTTGATCGTTGACATCTGCGCCGTCCAGGATGAGTCTCTGGAGCGTAGTGCGGGGCGTTAAGGCGAACATTCAAAAGACTAGAACGCCAGTTGTGTGAGGTGCTCCGTCCCCGTCAACCGATTCTGCCACAAGTCAACGCCCCGGATCGTCTTGATGACACTGGAGGAGTTCTTCCACCCCCGGATGCTCTGAGTCCTGGCCAGGATCAGCTTCTCCCACCGTTCGCCCTGCTTCGCACCACTCAAGTATGTTCAGTGCTTGGCGGAGCACTTGGTGCGCGGGTACGATCAAAACAAGTATTGCAAATCGGCTTCCTGCAATGACGTGTCCATATATCTTGCAGGAGATGGCGTTGCGAACCCACGAACCATGTTCGCTAAAGATGATGGGACGGCTGAGATTCGCGGTGTATACCTCAATGAACGTCCCGGACTCTGGCGGGCGGAACAGAGACAGCGTGCCGGAAAGAACGCCTCCTATGCTCCCTCCCTCTGGAGTGGTGACCTCGATGGCCGCATCGCATGGCGTAGATTCCACGTTCTCCATGTAGCTTTCGAGGGGAACTGCCTGAGTCCATCCTGACCCAGATTTCAAATGGACGAAGACATATGGATAATGCTGGTGTGCTACATACCAGAAGACCCTTTTTGCGGCAATGGAAGATACGTCCTGGTCTAGTCAACTTAGCTGACCTCAAATCAAATCACTTCTTCTGGACTTCATATAGACCATTCAGCTCCAGAGCGAGCTGCGAGACGGTCATCAGAGACCTCATTCGTTACGGCTCTTCAGACATGAGCCGATCGGCTGTCACAGTCAGAGTCCAGGCTGCCAGTATGGGATAGGTTGCCTAGGATCTGTCAGACTCTCTATCGAGCCTATAATATGGTGGCGGCGCATCCAGGAGTGCCAACGCCGAGAAGCGCATCTGGCAGTCTCAAAAGGCGGCGTGAGGGCGACAGCAGCAGCTTGGTAAGCTCTCATGAACAGCGTGATGAATTATTCAACTAGGACCGGGTGAAAACGCATCCTTACCAAGTGTTCATCTCCTTCGCTCGATGGCGGAAACAGGGCCTGCACGCCTGCTCTTGCCCATGCCTCGATTTGACATCGGTCAACAAGACTCCCTCTCAGATCTTGCTAACGAGCGGCATCGAATGCCATCGGATGGCCGATCTTCGGCAACGAACCAGGCTCGGTGGCCCCTGGAAATTGTCGAGTGGTGGTCTTAATAGAGCTGTTCCTCTTTGGCAGACAAGTTAAGTGAAGTCCGTATTAGCCTGCTCTAAGCACTGCTCAAGGCAGGAATATCTCAATATTCGTCAATCTTGCAATTTGCTTTATTGTTACATCACAGATTGACGATTCGCAAACGGCCATCTCTCAGAGAACCCTGGGTTGTGCTTCTGTTCCTACTCGACAGAAAACACCTCCTGCAAGCCACAAAAGCAGTTGATTCCTCACTTAATACTACGACGAGTCAGAGTCAAAGTAATATAGCTCTTCCTCACTTGTCGTCTCTTCCGCGTCTTCTCTTAGATCTGCACAAGGAGAATCACCGATAGGCCATTTGTCAAGGCCTTCGCGTTGGTTGCGAGATATGAGAAACCTTTCCTCAAATGCCTCTCGAACCATCCTCCGTGTTTTGTACTTGAATATCCTGCGATGGGAAACCACAAACATAGTCGCGTTGAAGGCCATATTTTGATCACTTACTCCGGGCAAGTCAAGAACGAAAGCGTAAAGCAACCTGAACGCCGAGTCGCGTGCCAAACTTTTGAACCCTGCGATTGTATGCCGCTCATCTGGATCCCAGTCGTCTTTTCCTTGTCTCATGTCTCTCATAATATCGCGCAAAGAGCGCCCTGCAAGGACGTCAACCTGGCGAAATCGTAGAGTTTCGCAAAGAGAATGATAGTCGGATAGACGGGTTGGCATAGAGCGAATGATCCTTCGAAATCCATAGCGCAAGCCGCGTTCAATAATTTCGGAGTGCGATGCGCTGCCTTCGGTATTTGTAAAAGTCCCGATAGCGCCTGTCGGCTGCCGTATAGCTGGCTTGTTGTCCGGATCGCGCTCACATTGTCTCGCGTTTGACATAGACCCGTAGGGCATCATGGGCTCAATGCCAGGATGCTCGCTGCGATTTGGTATGGCTGTGCATTCATTCTGTTTCAACTCATCCCAAATTGAGTAAAGATCATCTGCCAGTGCTCGGCTCTGCAAACCGCTGGTGATTTGCACTGCTGATCCCCCGGTGTATTTCACCAGAGCACGCCGGCCGTTCCTTTCTTCCACCACCTGCCGGATCCTTTTGATGAGAAAAGCCAATTTCCGTAGATTTTCCCGGTTGGCCGATTCCCAATCACACACTTCCTGCTTCACGTTATGAAGCTTGACGTCTGAAAAGCGGTTCTGTTGATGATAGGCAACAACAAGGAGCGGAGTCTGTGAGAGCCAGAGTTGAGGAAAAACTTCTTCCATCGCAAGCGTCCGACTGGCAGCTCTGGTCTTGATTTCCAGAGTTGACTCTACATCAACGGACCTGGTTTTCGTGCTGACAATGTCCATTCGGTCCCGTATCGATTCGGGTGCCTGTAAAACAGACATTATGCCCAGACGATTAGACAGCTCATCGACAAGGTCCGACGTCGCTCCAGCAATATCCGAACTGACTCCATTGGCAACATATCCGTCGGTTTCATGCCGCAAAAGAAACATCATTCCGCCGAAATGATAAGAAACAATTCTGTGATGACCAGTGCTTCCTATAAGTCCTTTCGTGTATGTCTTTTCGAAGTTGTGACCGAAGCCCCTGAAGCCTTTGATAATTTCTGTCGGGTTTTCCTCTACGCGTGTAAGCAATAGTGTCTTCTTGCCAGCTATCTCAGCCTTGATCTCGAAACTATCAGACGCGGGTGCCTCCACGAAGCGCAACAGCTTTCGCATATTGTTCCTGTCGGTAACAATGTCGACGTCACTCAGCTCGAACTCGGGTTTTTGTGCACAAACGGCACGAAACAAAGGCTCCAAAGGATACTCTGGCCGTCGAGCAGCGTTTTGATCAATGTATCTTATTCCAAAGTCAGGTATCATTCGTGGGGGCTTCGATGGAGGGGCCCAAAGAGGTGGAAGGCCTTCTGATGGGTTAGGATATTACCTGAATGAGGTGAAATGCATTCATCTTACCTGGAACCGCGATAGTCGGCAGGTCTTTGTCGATCCAGTTGTAAGAAGCGACATACTGAAAGCGTTCGATTGTGGCATCACATGCTGGAGGTGTATCAAGGTCAGAGCGGGCTATTTCGGCCACAATAGAAGACATGCTTGACCTATAGATGAGTGGAACGAAGTTGAGTATTGCACAGCGGACGGACTGGCGGATGTAGGTGTCGATAGTGAAAAATAAGTATGTTACAAGTCTTTCGGTAGAGGCATACGTGTGTTGTTGCGATCTTCGAGCTTCTCCTTCTTGGGCTGGGATATCCGAATGGCGTCATCGGCAGCACACAAAGTTCTTCAGACGCGCCTGCCAATGAAAGGCACACATAGCTTCCGAGCCATTGAACACCAATGATGCTTCACATATGATTATATGAGTCACGATGACTGGATAGTGCACCATCTGCGGGGACTAGGGTTTGAGATGCAGTCGGTCAACTCACTTCACACGCTAGGCAATAAGACCGAATTGAAGAGGTCGAATGAGAGCCGACGGTTCATATAATTTCATGCATGCCCGCTATCAAATGCAAGCCGTATGCTCACTGGATTGGTTCGCGATTCGTCATCATACTTTCCTCATACCTTCATCATCCGCTGCGGTTCCTCAATGACAAGTAGTTAGATATTGCATTTGCGCCAAAGCATCCACGCATCCTCAGGAATCAGCATACTGCGGCCGCCAATGGTTATCATCGAAATTTAGGCTCATGGAAAGTTCACGGTCCTCAGGCAGAATATACGGATTCGATCATACAAGATTCCAAATACGTACAGAATTCACCATGCTGAGGTATCCGCCCTTACACGCCTATCAATCTCCGCAGCACCGCCAAGAGTCTCAGGAAAGGAGCCCTTTCCTGTGGGAGAAGCCTGCGATTAAGCAGAGTCTAAAAGCCGACAGAGCACAATCACCGTTAGGATCTTATCTTTCTTTCAGCCCAGTTCAGACCACCCGTGCACGTCTCTAGGTCTATCGAGCCGTCCCAGTCTAGTACCATGGCGACCCTTACTACGGCACCTCTATGAATAATTTGCTAGTGAGTTATCAGTACACTGACGTACCTAATATGATAGTCAAACGTTCGCAGGCAAGAGCTAACCATGTCATATAGGTAACCCGCCCTTTTAGGACACTGCGCTTCGGGCCACGCTATCAGCGGACCATCACGATTCAGGTGGCTCGTCAGTCTTTATCTAGAAAGCTCCAGAACGCCTTTTCGCTTACGTGCAAAGACCAACAATAACTACATCTCTATCGACCATATACGATGGACTGGGCGTTTAGCCGCGCTTATCAACTCAGAGCCTCGGGATTTTGACCGGGTACCGGAGCTGCACGCCTGTCCGCCGATGTTTCCCAGTCCTGCCCGATAAGAAGTGCCGCGCGGCAATCGGCTGGCAGCTTTCCCTTGCTGAACAGTCAGATCATCTTCAGACGTCTGACAGCACACGGACTTTCGCCTCTTTAGCTTCTAGCAACTCTCCACACTGAGATACGCGATCCTTCTACCAGGTTCTTAGTAGAACCACAACTCTCCGCTACCACAGGCGGCGCAGCCAGCACACTCTCCTACCGTGCTAACAACTAAACCCGACGACTATCCCCTCCGCCTCCCGTAATGGTGCGCATTAGCAAGAGTACGCCTACACTTAAACAACTGCGATGATGTGGCGGACGATTGACTAGTGCTACATTTTCTATGCCATGTCGATAATGTTGGCGACTATTCCGCTGGCTACGCGACCGCGGTGGTATACCTGGCAGAGTCTGGTGAGCAACCTCTTGTACGTACTGCCTTGGGCAGTTGTGCGCCAGACAGCCCAGCTCTCGGCCGATCGTGTATGGACATATCACAGCCTGGTGTTCGGTGGGAGTCTCGTGTTCAGTTCCGTTGACATTGTCATCGTCGACGGTCTGTGGGTTTGGGCTCTGTCGACAGGCCGCATGAAGCTCGGTGTGTTTCGTGGTTGAGTGGCCGCGTGCAATCTCTGACCACGGAGGTCGAATCTGATTGAGTCTATCTGAAGTGCCCCTTTGCCCTGTTTATCGTGTCACTTCGCGGTCAAAGCAAGCTACCTCCGTCAGAGACACCACTCCCCATAGAGATATCTTTCCTCTCCGAACATGGCCAGAGACCTCCACCTCGAGGCCAAGCGCTTGACGTCGTCGGGAGCATGTAACTGGTTGCAGACATGTCCCGTTCATCCATCATGTTCTTTCCCATGTTGCTATTATGAGCGCATGGCATAGCGATCCATCCTGAAAAGCCCTTGCTGTAATCCTCGTCTGTGGCTATCTGAACGTAAACCGAGAATTCCCTCGCTGTGGGTTTCTGAGCGGTGTGCTCGTGCGCCATGATCAATGACCACCATGAGATGACAGGATCGTTGGCTAATTCACCGCAGCTGATCCTCATATCCTTGAATTTTTTGATAGCTTTGAACATTGTCAAGGAATCGACAACAAAACAGCGATAATGTGATTGATCCCTGCGTGGAGCTTCAGCATCTCTAATGATTGTGACGAACTACGCACCAAACTCTGAGACCATTCAAGCCATCAAAGGCAAGGACAAACACCACCTTCCCCTGCGTCTTCGTTTCCTTCCATGGTCCTTTTAGCCGCAACAAGACAGAACTCCCCCTTGATTTTGCCAGCAGCCTCTTTCCGCACATTTTCGATGCTCGTAGAGACAAATTCGGCCATGTTACGAGACCCATGTCTCTCATATAGGTCGTTTATAATGAGACCAATTTGCTGTTGTAGCCTGATCTGTAGATGTTTGGCATGGGTTTGTTCGAGAGCCATTTGGTCGGTCTGTTCCTGAAGCTCTTTGTGGCGAATTGCATGTCGAAGATTACTGGAAGTCCGCAGGCCATCTTGAAGGAGTCCATCAAGTCTCTCAATTGACCAAGACTCTATCTCAATGATCCTCTGTTCAGTCTCTTGGCACTCTGTACTTTTTTTCAAAGCGTATTCCTTGCTTGGCAGAAGCGCTATCACGGTACTTATGACAGCGCTTGCTAGGAATCCGGCAGCAGGGTTGAGAAAGACGAACAAAGGTGAGATCATAGTCAAGAATTGCAATCCGAATGATGCATTGTCGTTTCTCGCAACTGCGGCGTCTTCGGCTTTTCTGCGGTACTCATCGCCTGAAAGACAGTAGTCTATCTTGTTGATGACATTCTGGCCATCTTCGATTGCTTCGGATAAGAGGACCTCCGGTTGTTCTACCCGCGAAGTTAGCCTCAAGATCCTCAGTAAGATGCAGGTAGATTGTACGCATACCAATGTTCTCCAGTCTGGAACGTGACAGCATTACTTTGCGGAAGGCCATTATTGGGCTGTAACCTCTGAACTCAACTGCGGCTTGCGCTGCGTCGAAGAGACACCTCGAGAGCTCAATCCACTCCCGGTCGTCGTCACCGGAGAACTTACAAATTGTTTTGTGGTCGCGATCAGCCACCCGACAAAATTCTTGTGTAGATGGTAGACCAAGCTTCGCCGAGTCTTCTGGCACGATCTATTGACAGAACGTCAACAAAAGTTCCTGAACCTTGGAGAACTCGGAACAGAGGCTTACAATGCCTGCGTAATCAAGTCCTAATCCCTCGATCCAGCTATAGAACCTGAACGCTTCTAGCAGAGGGTAGAATCTCGCTTGTAGCTCCCTGCTGTAGTTAGATCGCTGCGACACGCTCTCCAGGAAAGAGTTGTCGGGTTTATTCTGGTACAGAATGCTCCTTAGTGACTGTCCCGAGGCGGCATGAGGAGAGCCCTGGTGAGGTACGGCGAGGAAGAAGATGCCATATGTAAACATCCAAATCATCGGATAGGTGTTGTGCTCCCTGTATGATATTGATAGGGCTTCCTTGACAATGATGCCTCCCAAGCTATGTGCAATGAATATCATCGGCCTTGTTTCGTCCATCTGCATACGACGTTGTTAGTCAAATCGTTTGGATAAAAATGGAATTCAAGCTGAGAGTTACAGAACCTTGCGGACATTCTTGAGGCAGTTCAAAAGATTGACCGCCTGTGCTCTGATTCCCGCTATCGAACTGCCAGAGAACACATTGGCGTTGTACTGGAACGCCAAGATCCTCGCAAGTGGCAGCCGGCTGGGCAAGAGACTTCGAAGCCAATTGATTCCGTTCTCATGTGTCCAGGTGTTTTTCGAGTGACCATCATTCCCTTTCACGTTCATTCCATGCACAGCAATAACGCTAAGCGACATTTCAGCTGAAAACACGCGACAACATGTTCAAGGGCCCTTACTCCAACGTTGACTCCAATGGATTTGAGATGGCAGTGAGAGTGTTGGAGCGCGATTGGTCTGCCATCTAGAAGGCCTGCCGATATCTGAATTCGTTGCTCACAGGATAGCGAGTCAAATCAGGTTGTCAGAGGGCGTCTCTGGCTAGTAATGATTGAAGCTTCTTGATTGTGTAAATTCCTTGTTGGAAACCGTGAAGGGGCAAGAGTCAGCTTTCCAACTCGACCCCGCACGTTGCTGCCCAAAACTTATCACATGACCGGTCATCGACCGAGACAATGCAGACGACTATGGTGTGACGAGGACAGGTCGAGTCACAGAATTTTCTATCAGTACATTCAGGCTGAGGAGACTGCGTACAGATATGTGAGATATGCAGATGATGCCTCTCGAAAGACAATCAGCAGAGCCATAAGCCGAACGAAACAGAGTCTCGCTCAAAATAGATACACTGTCATTGTAGGAGACGGCGTCCTGATGCTCTTGATCGCCGATCCGCTCACGAAACCTCTATCGGAGTTGAGTTGAAGCAGTGTGAGACTAGCGTCAACGAATGGCCATGTCTGAGACAAACCTGCAGCGTTCGGGTAGTAAGACCTGCCCAACAACGTCCCAAGCCGGTCGTTTGGTAACCTCGCTTTCTTCTACAAAGTCGACAGAGAGCGTGTCAAAGACACCATTGACGGTGAAGCATTCTGTGAGGCAGGGCAGAGAGTCATCGTCCGCGGATGAACCGAATAATTCGGATTGATGCTTCGCGGAGGGGCAGAGGGGGTTAGACAAACGCTGATGCTGCAATCAGCTGGGACATCTTTGCTGCGGCCTGCAGACGCAATGAGGCCAGGGAAGTCGAAGACGCCCGGTACGCAGGCCAAAATTATTGTGGCATAAACATCAACTACCGAATGTCTTGCGGTGCGGGCCCTTCTGGGCGACCTTCTCAGTGCTCGCTTCTGCCGGCTGATAGGATTCCACGTCGATGAGGTGGACCGTCTGGGCGCTGTGCACTGGGGAATAGCAACGGTTGGGCGTGGCGACCAGTTGTCTTTCTCCACTTTCAGCGCTCATCATAACCTCTGCGCCACCAGCTTACCGCCAAGTGCTAGCGCGCTCAGGCTCAACGGCATCTGCATGGGTCGCCTGCATTTGAGTCTACCGCGCATATATATTTGGCGCTTTGCTCCTTGTGCACTTGCAACAGCCTTTTGCGAACCACATACCACCATCAGCAGTCAGCAGCCGAAGAAATGCAAATCAAAACCACCGCTCTTGACAGCAAAACCGGCTTTGCCGGGATTTTTGCGGTGACTCAGACTCATGACGGGTCCTCGGAAAGTCTCGCTGGCGATGTCGAGAAACTACGGATCGGCATTCTATCTGATGGTACGACTGCATGCGATGTCTGCTGCACCTCAGGTATGGACATTCATCTGCACAACCTACCCAGGCTGACTCGGGCCCCAGAGGAGCCAGACGCTACGTACCGAGCCTCTTCTCGACAATCCGTCTTACATACGGGCGGTTTTTTGGACATCGACGGAATGCACGCAGGAAAGGACGGCGAGCAGTTCGTCATCAATCGACCTGGTGGGATGCATAGTGGGATGCGTATTCGAAACATGACAGTGGGAGATGGCGGCATGCAAGTCATTTGCTGCTCGAATGACGAGAGGGACATACAGGAGATCCTGCAACGCGTGAAGGCGTGTCAAGCGCCTCCGACGCCTGTACAGCATTTGCAGACAGCTGAGCTTGCCACTGTTCTTTCACAATTCCAGCGCGAAGCGCAAAACGGCACATCCGGGCCCATGTTTGGCGGTCTTTTTTACGATGAGTCCATCGCCAAAGAAGAACGTGGCTGGCGATGTCTCTTCTACGAGAATTCTAGTATCGACTTTGGCACTACCTTGCGCGATGCCGGGCTGGATCCGGAGACGTGGACCTGTGCTGAGATGTTCGCTTCTGTACTCTGGCACTGCACCGAACGCATAGGACAGAAAGCTCTGTGTCCTAACTGGCTGTGGGGACGACGGCAAGATATCTTTGGCAGCCAGCCTGGGCAACCCAAGGCAAACGTGGAGACGATGCGATCGCTGATCGGCTTGGCTCCGATGTGCGTGGTTCAAGACGGTGGCTGGGCCAAGAGCCGCCTGGTTCAAATCTGGGAAATGGCTCGGAATGGGCAGGATGGGGAGCGGGAGATTGAGGAACAAGACCTGATCACGATGAAGGCAGTTAAGGATGAGCTCTGCCAGTGGTCAACAGCTCATAGCATGTAACTTCCGATAACCCGTGGCTATCAAGTCTCCTACAGCCGGTCAGCCGCAACCAACTTATTTCCTGTGATTGTGGGTTTTACGACGAAGAGAAGTCCTGCTACAAATGACCATCTTGGCCTACAGTAAACGCTGCATTCCTTCGAACAGCTACCGCGTTATGCTAAATCTTGCACTTTACCGTCAGAAAGTTTTGGTGGGGTTTTCTTATTTACATTTTTCCTCAGAAAGAAAAAAAATCTAAGAGTAAAAGAGCGCTCAGACTCGAAGTCAGAATTCGGAACGATAATAGCCAGTGCTTGCGCTACCTCTCGGGCAGGGCCGTCCATACTGTGCGAACCGGATTTTGTCTCATCGTGTTGCTGGCAGGCTTCCAGATTTGTACGTGATCACACCGCACTCCGGTGTGAATACGCGCTAACAATGTAAGCAGGGCTCCTCGAGGAGCAAGAGGTACTCCGTCCTTATGCACTACTTGCAAGTACTTAAGGCTGTGGGTGAGGTATCCGTAGTTGATCGGAAACTAGACGCCCTAGACTGATTCTTGCCCCTGTTGAAGCTCTCCCCGTGTGGGTTCTAATTGAATGCAAAACTCGCGGCAGTGATCCAAAAACAATCGGTATGCGTGCCGATTCTCCAATCAACCTCATCTGCAGATATACCAAAGCTTGCCTTTGAGCCTGACGAATGACGGTGGGAGCTTATCAGAATGCGGGAGGCGTGGAATAAGTCGAGGAAGAAGGGTCCAGCCCCGGCGTCAACAGCGGGTGAACGACGCTGGGTGCAGCCAACAGCAGCACGACATCGTCGTACATAAACGGTCAGCAACACATTATTCTCGAAACGGGCACCACCGGAGATCCTCTGCTGTTTACTTTAGTGACACGACCGCCCCCCTGCAGCGCTGTGGCATGTCTCTTTCCCCGAACGTCGACGGCGGTGCCGAGGAGACGTCGCTGGGATTGGCAGTTCGCAATCTGGGACGCGTCGTGACCGCGTGTTGTGCAGCCACTTCGACTGCCCGAGGCCGGGATGGCGACACAAATCGCTTGCCATCAGCCAGCCCTCTGCAACGGTACCGCAAGGAAGGTAGGTTTGTGGGCTGGAACATTTGGACGCACGCAGTAGCAAAGTGTGAAATCACGCGCCGTCAGGATGGCGTTGGAGCGCCTGGTCGCTGCAGGCGGGGCATGCTCTGGACGACGCCCGCCTGGCGGTACCTCGGACGCAGGGTGGCCGAAGTAGCGTGCTCTTTAAACGAGAGGACGGCAAGCAGTTACTGGCCTGCGCGCTTTAAACCATCAGGCCCCTGAATCATCGACAGAGACAGGCGAATGGTGGCGCCGACAATACGTCTGGCGGCTGCGCCTCAACGTGCTCAGGTTGCGGTGCCGTCGTCGTTCACTTCACTTTCTCTGCTGCAGCGTGTCAGCCTAGACTAGCGCCCGTTACGGGGGCGGTTAGCTCATTCCCACTCGATCTTGCCTATGTGCATGCGCTTAGCCCATGTCGGCGGCGTAGACTAGGCTTCCGGTTGGTTGAGCCTTCGACGCGTTCACGACCCCCGAAAGGCCCTATATGCTTTTGACGGGCAGCGAAGTGCACGTCCTTCCTCAATCCACGCGAAAAGGCTGCACACTGTGGCATCTGTTCGCTGCATATATCGTGGGGAACGTTTTTGTACAAGGAAGTGCTAGGTAGGCCACTATGTACAGGCGTATCGCTGAGAAGAGCTTCCACCACGCTACGGCGTACATGGGGTGGGACGGTTGGGGTGGCGCGGGAGCCGTCCGATTCGTTAGCCGCGGGCTCCCCTGCGGTCTGGCATGATGTCAAGGTAAGCGCATGGTCAGCGAGCGTCCAGGTCTGTGCTCGTACTTATGTACATCAGTCTCGAAAAGTTCGCCTGACGGGCAGCCTGACGAGTAAGTTCTTTGGGGGTGCAAGACAAGCCTTATGGCGGCCAATGGCGCCGCTTGTACGACGGATAAGAGACAGGGCGTTCCTGGCGGCCAACGCACAACTTGTCAGGCCCCGCGATGCGTGCATCAAACTAGCCAGCTCCAGCGCGCGCGCCAGCCACGAAAGCTGACCAGGACCTCCTGCTCGTGGGCGGTCGTATGGGTCGAAAAAGCAAGGGATCAAGTACTACAGTAGTGCATATCGCAGCGCCACGACCGGTTCCAAAGATACAGCGAGTGTACGGCATCGCTCTCTCCATTCTTTCGTGCAAGCGACATCCAACACCAACGGCTTGCCGCGCTGCACCAGCCAATGGTGTACTGTGTACTTGTAGGCATTGTGAGGGGTGCCTGACCTGCATTGACCACACGCTCCAATACTGTACCTCGCGGCTCGCGTCCCCACCACAGGGCCACCATCTTCGTCCAAGCTTGTGCCAGCCCACAAAGCTGCCACAGCGAATCGGCGCTGAGGGGTGATCAACAATGAGCTACATGTGTCCTTCAAAGAAGTTGTAGCCGCCGCTCCAGCTTCGGAAGAGCAAGACAACCTATATCACGCAGCCACCACGCGTCGTACTTTGCGGACAGCCAGTTCTCAGTACTCTGCTCGACATGTTTAGTCAGCATTACCCACGACAAGTGGCAGAGCGCACCCCGACGAACCGGTTGTGAGGACTACCAAACGGCAACGACGGAGCCCAAACTCGCCTACATGCAACGATCGCGCGATACCCGACTACCGGCGAAAGAATCGCTATCTTGCTAATCGCTGACATCACCTCTCCATGGGCTCACAGCGTGTGGGAGACACGCGGTCGACCTCGCTGATGGCCACTCCTTGTCCTGAGCAGCCGTCTTCTAGTACATCATTTCAGTGTCCCACGGATCTACATTCCATTGACTGACTTGTCTGGTAGCGCCACCACAGCAAACAGAATTAATGCAGATTACCGAAGACGCCAAGCGGCATTGGGATGAGACGCTCGCTGCCCTCCACAAAATACCAGCGAGCGATCAGCTACGCAACGTCTTCCGGCCCGTTCGGGATCGCACCTGGGACGAGGCCACCTTCATCGAACACCTGACGTCGGTGGCTTATATGACAGGACCAGGAAGACGCGATTACTACGACGACCCATTGTTAGGCCTGCACCATATGAACTCCTTCACAGACCTGTTCAACGAGAAATACCCCCAACACCGCATCTCCCAGTGTGGAGTAGGATTCGGGTTGTGTCCCCGCGACTGGACGAACGAGTTGGACGGGGAAAGCCAGCGTTGGGTGATTACCTACCGTGGGGACCGTCTCTTCTCCGAGGGCCTGGTCACTCTACTCTGTGGCCCTACTACATTGGACTGCGGCATGGACAGTCAGCTGAAGCTTTGGGTTGCGTTGCTTCTCACTGTTGGAGACGATGTCTTGCAAGAAGTAATGCCTTTCGAAGCTGGTCAATTCATTCTGACCCAACAATGGCATTTGCCCTTGGATGAGGCTGGCGTCCATGGGAGCTTGCTCCACCCCTTTTACGATCTGGTGTCAGCGGATTGCCTATCGCCGACAGCGCGTATTCATACGAGAACCTTCTACAACCATCGAACCTACCTCGTCAAACATCCCGCGGGGATGGGCCGCTTACAAAATGTCACCCAAATCGATGGAAAGTACTGCGTTTTTGACCCACCCGACAGCCAGAACTTGCTTTCCCCTTCCCAACTGGAACAGAAGCTCATGCACCAGTACAATGCGCCTCAGACTGCAGCTGACCTGGAAACGTTATACATATGGGATGCGCTTCCAGACAGACAGCATGCACACTTCCGCAAGTTTACGCTGGGATACTGCTCTGCGGCAGGGAAAAGAATAGCAAACTTTGCATTTGACGCGGCAAGCTGGGAGAATACCAAGGCCCAGAGAGACGAAGACGCCGAAGGACTGCACCTCGTGTTCAATGTGGAACGACTTTTGACTTGCATCCGGGAGACGATGCAAGCATACCGTATGGGGAACCGAAACGAAGACTTTTGGTCTAGGGCGAGGAGACTGAAGGAGGAATCATCTCTGTCGTAATCGCAACGGACGATGCTTGTGATGTTGGCCAATATGGGTAGCCCAAGACGCCTTCTTCCTTGCTACGAAGTTGATCGTTTTGGACGGCATTGGTGATCCGTGCAGCCCATAATTGCCTCCCTTCAGGAGCAGATAGGCGCAGCTCCAGGTTGCTGGGTCACAACCGCTGTTTACCGAGCGGAGCACTACGGCCACACTCTCATGGACCACCTGTCGTACTATATCGTGGAGACGGGATTGTCATTGCTTATCTTCATGTTCTTCCCACAGCCGGAGGGACCGTCATGAGTACTGTCTGGGTTTCGTAGAGTGCCTCCTGGCTAACGCCGTCGTCTACATATGCGTCATCATTGTATCTGACGACTCGTAGATCCAGAGCAGCTTTACATTCGGGTCATAACTGTGTCCGGTGCTTGTGGATCGCCTCCGTAGCTCTAGGCCGTACAGTCTTCTAATTGCTCATTACAATAGCTTCTCTCGTGGTGACGGCTTCCTCTTGGCAACCTACTTCATCTGTTTGGACTTGGCCCACACAGGCTGGGCCCAAAGTCTTTCTCACTGTGTACATGCGACCACGATTAGAAGTGCGAGAATGACTGCTGTTGAAGCCGGTTATGGATACTTTAGAGCAGCTCTTGAATACGCGCTGTCCCTCGCACTGTCGTACACCCGCCCGGACCCACATTTTGGTTTGCAAATCAACCGCTACAGCCATTACCAGAGGTTTGCGGAGGCCCATCATAGCAATTTTCGGCTTCTCAAACATTGAGAATGTTTGTGAGAGGGAAAGCGACTTATGCTCAATACATACTGTCCTGTCCTGTATGTACTGTACCATGGTTCTCACAGATGTTGCTTGTTGTTTTCCTTCGCGACAATGGCTCCCAATTCGCCTCCATGGCTGACGCTCACTGACCCATGTCTGCAGCGACGCTTCGAAGATGATGACCATTGCGAAGCACATTACGACTCTTACTGTGCTTATCAGCGACCTGACAACTTTCTCTACGGGCTTTTAGCATCAGGTCGCAGCAGGATCTATGAATTGTACTGTATCGCCGACGGTGCAGCGCCAGCACAATTCAACGCACAGCCGATTCGCACGGGATAGCCAGCTCCATCCGGCTCTGCCAAATGATACCGCAGGCCTCGGCTCATCACAGGCGGGAACAAGTTCCAAAAGCAACAACGAGCGCACCCCATATGTACTAGCTAGCGACCCTAGCGTTCACCCGACCGAAGTGTTATCAGTCGCACCGCATTACCAAGTGTCCGCCCTGTTGCAGCTCACATGAGCCCGATCTGGAGCAGGGCAGAGCCGATGCTCGCGTCCTGGGCCACGACCGCCAGGAAGTCCTTGGCGAACGTTTCCGCGCCAGCCACAAAGGCAATGCTCATGACGAACCCCAGTACAGACTGAACAGAACGAGCGTGTATATCAGCTGTAGCCTCTGCGCCAAGGAACGGGACGACTGATCACCGATAGCCACCCATGCCGCGCGTGGGAGACCTTCATTGAGGACCTCAGCCATGACACCGATGTAGGTGTACACGTCCGTGGTAACGACGAGGGAAGAGTCGATGTTCGCAACCCAGAGCTTGGAGAGGGTACCGTAGAGTGCGGGGAGCAAGGAGGCGGCAAGATGAAAAGCGAGTGCGCCGGAGTAGGTATTCCGGCCAAGGGAGGCCGTTTGTCTGGGCACGACGCTGCCATCCCCTGAGAGAAGTGCTGGGTGCACGACCTCTTCGGGGTCATCCTTGGGAAGCATGAAGTATTGAGGTAAATCGTGTGCGACGCCTCTCAGAAACGCATTTGCAAGTTTGACAGCGGGCACCCACATGTTCCACTCTCGCGCAAGCCCGTTGTATAAGTTTTTGGCAAACGTGGGAATAGCAACGTTGCCTACAACTTGAGCATGGGTCACAGCAACTACTACCGCACTAGCCAGTACTCAGACTACTTTCCTGGTTACACAGCAGTCGAGCATCTTCGCCAAGTTCGTACAAAAATGCGCTGGCCATGGACCAAAACTGCGGTCTTATTGGATGAGGATATGAGTCTATGCTGTATATCGAATCGACAGTTCGAACTCGCACGGCGAGACGGTCGACATTAGCCCGTGCGAGGCCGTGCTCTACGCCTCCCCCACCCCCAAGATGGCTGCAAATCATAACGGGCGAACCAAAGCACCAATTACCGAACATTGCGCACCAACAGCACGACATGTGCAATCGACGAGGAGGAGATCTTTGAAGTAAGCCATTGCATACTGTACGTCTCTCAGAAGACACCCTGAACGGGAATTGGTGTCAGACCTCGATAGTTCAAAAGAGCTTGTGCGCGACGGCTGAGATCAACCATGGCCAGCCCATCCAACTTCTGGACCCCTATGCTGAGGGCCGACTTCCATGGAACGATCGCGTCTTTGCAGCAGCTGGCCAACATTCCATCCGAGCCACGAGCGTACCGTGAGGGGGCGACGCCACAAGCTCATACCAACATTCTTTCGATCGAAGATGAAATCCAAATGACCAACTCGATTGCATTCCTTGCCCATCGCAACGAAGGAGCCAAGTTCGTGTCTACCGTAACCCTGCGTGAATACCCTGAACGACTGCAGGTTGTGCTCGCCGGCAACACAAACCCGTCATCAGGCGCTCGTCATGAGCTCGCAAATATCATGACACACCTGAGCAAGCTTAGCAGGAGAGGTACATCTTTCAAGAAGTCTTCTATGATCAAGGTCTGATGTGCTTGCAGAAGGTAGTAAACATGCGCTACGAGAGGAGCTACTCGACATGGTACTCCTCTTCAGTAGTAGCCGCATTCTCAGCCGACTGCGTCCGCCATGGATGGCACAACCCCGGCACTTTAAAGCACCGCAGCTCTCTTTGCAAGACAGACTACGGAGCTGCATGCTTGGAATCTGGGATACCTCGCAGTCTTCTACGCACATCACATCACTCCTCAAACGGTTGAAGGACTTGGTAAATACATTGAAGCTTGTCCAGCAACACACAGAGATCAACGCCTCCCTGAGCGCCATGAAGATGATTGTCATAAGCTGCGTGGAAGTCGCACGCTTAGGCAGCACAACTTCAGTCGAGGAGCATCTGAAGTCGTTGGGCGTTCAAACACGGTTCGCCGAGAGCCCGGAGATACGCCAGGTTGACAAGTTGGCCAGATACTTCTTCACGTGTAACGATCTAGCTCGTCTCGCTCGGAAGCCCAGCTATCGGCATATGTTCAGCAATATCGACGTCATGGCTCTGGAAGCACCCTTAGGTTTTCGTCGTCCAGGAATCGCCCAATATTGCTTCGTGCACGCAGAGATCCAACAGATCTTTCATCTAGAACAGCAGCCACACACGCCAGCGCCGCGAGCAATTGGATGCAGCAAATCCGCCTGCTACTTGTGCGACCTGTTCGTTCGCACTCATGGCACCTATGTGGTGTCTCATTCACATGGCCGGCTTTACGAGAAGTGGACTCTACCCGATGTTGACTGGATGAACGCCACGCAGGCGGACAGGTTTCAGTCGATGGTCCAAAGCATGGTGAAAGATATGCGAGAGGCGATCCAAAGGCTCAAAGGCGGAGTACAAACCATCTATCGCTATCCTCTTGAAAGTCGGGCGTGTCTACCTTTGTCTAGCGAAGCCACCTCGAGCCTCGCTGAACGACACGTTGAGACCGAGGAGAACGCGCTCCCAATACGGCCTGACGATGGCATGAGCGCAATACTAACCAAATGCCACTCGTGGCCCGTCATGCTGTCACCTTTCGTTCAAATCACGAAGCTGGATCTGCCGTGGCATCGGTTTACCCGGTTAGGACAAGAGCCGCTACATGTCCAGATCGACAGACTCTCTCTTCACATCGAATTTGCGTCGACAGCGACTGGGTTGCTTTCAGTCTATTCTCGGCAAAGTGTCCCCCGTGAAGCGAGCAAGATATTGAAAGCAGACGACATTCCTGTAGACTCACATCTTCCTATTCAAGGTTCTCGAGCCTCACGGAAAGTGGCGCTCGGCATCTCACTTGATGCCACCGTGGCGATCCAGATCGAGTTCGAATGGGACACACCTGAATACTGATCATGCTGCAAACAATGGTTCGTGTCGTATTTCTTAATGTGGCTAACTTCTCAACGGCTATTTCAGTCGAGCACATCCTCGCAACGTGATATGCAAATGCATCTGGCAACAGTCCAGAACTGGACATGGTTGGCGATTGTCGACTTTCGCCAATGAGTGACACTGTCAAAACATGAAGCCTCTTGTCACGTGAATCTTGACAGATTGTGAGCCATCATCTCAATTACATAATGCCCATTGTACTCACCAAGGGAACCTGAGCTCTCGGCGCAAATAGTCCATAGTCGAAGTCAAGGCCTTTCCGTTGGTTCCTCAGATTCAAGATATCGCAGCTGTTGACCCATCATTCTGCTGAGAAGCCGCACAGGGCCAGATATGGATACAGTATTCTGCCATCTGGCTCGGTGGTTCAGACTTTTACGGAAAGGCGACGACAGCTTCCAGCGAGTACCGTACCGCGTGCCGACCTTCGCGTACCCTGCCATACAGTGCAGCCCTGACTGGCTTTGCTAATCGCCATGGACAAATGCGCTCGATGTGACTTTAATCTGTGATCAGATCAGGATTATGGGTATCCGGGGGCCCGAGGGGCTGCAGGGCAAGGTCGACCAAAGCTAGAGTTCGCAGTTTCTGGGTTGCTGCAGCGGACAGGCAAACAGGGAGACTTCATTTTGGGGTCAGGTCTGCTAATAGATCTTCAGTATGGTCAGCAGTAGCATAATGAATGGGGAAAAGTATGGTTGTATTTTCGTAGAGCGATCTGCTGGGCCTACAGTAGATCTATATAAACGAGTGGCATCTATCCCTTGTAGTGTAATCCTGGCCTGAGTGTGCGGTTAATTCAGTGATGACTTTATGCAGTGAGTTTCCCCGAAGCGAGGGTATCCCAGGTTCTGTCGCGCGACCTGTTATGCCGCTGCGCTGAATGCTCGCCAGTGAGGCGAGCATTGCCACGGCGTGTAGTCCGGCAGTACGCCCACACGGCTCAGCCATCTCAAATACTGACGACAGCGGGAGCAAATGAACACTTGCTGATGTGGAAAACACATCCCAAAAAGCTCCAGTTATGATGATGTACGGTCGGAACCAGAATTGGCCTCCATGTTCTTAAACGGATATTGTTCTGCTTTCTGGACCCATTCGCGAACGGAATACATCGGTGGGGCCAAGCTTGATTGACTCTCAGACTTCGAAATTTGCTTCTACACTATGTGCGTTGTCCGAACTCAACTTGTATAAGCCCGATATCCGCTAATCGCGGAAATGGAGTGCTGGATTTATGTCTCTGAACCTGGGATGGTTAATCTGCAGATTCAGAGGCTCTGCGGCTGGAGTCAAGCAGCCATGAACAAGGGGCAGGATTTCGTGACCGCCTTGTCACCGCCATCTATGGATGTCGGATTATGCAACATGGATCTAAGCTCTCGGACTTCAGGTGGAGAGGTCGTCAAGAAGGCTGCCACGAAACAGGGATATGCTCAGCCTCCTCGAGCTGCCCAACATGTTTGCGGTCAGTTGAACCTAACTTCCATCTTCTACCCTCGATTTTATGGACGAAGGTGGAAAACATGTAAGTATTAATGCGAGCCCTATGTACCTTAACCGGGCCATGATGAACAATGTATACGGGATCCACGAAAATGGATGACAAGAAAATGCAACTTGCGAAGCTCATGTAAGAGAGAGAGACGACTATTCTCGCGTTGAAGTTAGCCAAGAGTATGAAGAAGATAGTCGATCAGGTGATAGCCACCTCAGGTCAGTCTTTGCCCCTACTGAAGCTCTCTACCTATAGTTGCTCACCCAATGTAGAGGTCCGAGATGTTGGTCCGAGCATGAAAGTGAGCTTGCTTGTCTCCCAACTTGCTGCAGGAGGCTCTTTGGGCATCTTTCTTGAGCTTGATGGATCGTTTTGGAAGGTAATCGGACGAGAGGGAGGTCGAGTCCGCCTGCAAAAAGTGGACGAAGAGCCAACGGGTCCAGCAGCCGGTGAACAGCGCTGAGTGAAGTCGTCAGATGCTGCAGAGCAGGATGACTACGCGTTCGGACGCAGGGTTTAGCAATACATTGTCGTTTTGCTATCAATCGCGTTTCGTCTGGCCTTTCCTGCCCGGTCACTCGACGGGCCTTTCAGCGGCGCCTACGTGGAGGCAAGTTCAGGTAGTGCAGTCGCTATTGGGGTGGAGTGGAGAGTGAGCATAGGGCATAGACACAAAAAGCCTGGTATCAGTCCATAGAGAGCGGTTGTCATTTTAAGTGTGGTGAAGCCATACTAAAACGTTGCTGATGGAGGAGGAATGGTGGCCCTCCACGCCATTATATTCACCCAAGACAATAGGTTTCATAGCCCAGAGAGTGATTCGGCATGTTAGACGACATCGTAGGAGACTTGTGGCAGATTGACACCTTAATCGCGTAACAAGCATCAGCTCGTGCGATCACGTACATATCCCCTCTGGCTCCCACGAGACGGTGCCACACCTCCACCCATGGGTATCAGGAGGCATTCAAAGAAGCCGAGATCTCAGACGTGGCGCCAGAGTCGCGCTATGTACAGTCCAAGGCGAATGTCGCTGCATAATTCATTTGCTATGCTCTCTTTTCAAACGTGCAATAGATCCACCCGTGTCCCAGCATATCTGGCCTGTGAACGGCGAATGGTGCTGAGTTCACCACCATGGTTTACATTTGTCCGCCCTCTTGAAAGCCGTCAAGACGTAGCTAAACAGAGTAATGGTCAGTGAGCCGGAAGGATCATCCACGGATTGTAGTGGGTTAAATACCATTTACACAATGCATGGTGATCGGGATTCCGGATTTCCTTGGTTGCATCCGCCACCAGGTCCAACATTTCTTGCGGCGGGGCCTCGCGACGAGATGCAAAGCATTTCGCCTGCAGAAACTGTCTGAGGCACCAATAAAAGCGTTTACCGCTCTCTTGCTCATTTCTAGATTGCCTGTAGGGATTGATCGGCAAATCGATCGCTGCGCATGTAACGTCGAAGCCCTGATCTCGAAGTAAAGCCTCGATTTCCTGTTGATCAGCTTGATGCTTATCGTACTGACGGAACTTCTCTGCCCAGGCTTTGAGAGCCGAATTTCCTGGAAAAGACTTCTGCTCGTCGCCGCAAGGCATAAGATCAACCATTTCGACGATCAAGCTACCACCCGTGTTGAGATTGTTATAGGCAATTTTGGAGAAGTTCTGCCAATCTACGATGCTCTCGACGAATCGCACGTGAATGATGTCGTAGGGACTGTCTTTGCGCCACACCTTTCCGTCATCTCCTGTGACGAGGGTCAAATTTTCCGGTAGTTTGTCTCTGCATGACTGTAAGGATGTGGATTCATTGGGCATCCAAATCGGCTTACATTGGCGGGTGCATGTCGATAATGTCGTAACCCACCACTCGACCATGCAAGTGCCTTACGCACCTTTGCACTCGGTCAACTTTGTGACTCGAAAGATGGGAGGACTAGTGACTGACTCTGCAGTTTCAATCGACCAAATTCCAGTGCGCATGCCATAATCAAGGATTGCGCAGCTGTAAGGCAAGGAAGCTAGGTCAACCTTTGCTCTCTGCTCATTCTTCAGAGTGTGGTGCAGCAGGTCGTACGCATCTTTCAGATAGGCCTGAAAAAAGTTAGTGCGAGTCATAATCGAGTGAAAGAGGTGCATATACGAGGTTGAGGCTTGGGTCGGTGTTATCGTCAGATAAGTAATACGGCATCCTTTCGAGAGAGCTCTCAGCATATGTCATCTTCGAATGGGCAACCTTGCTGCTTGCTGCTTGTGTTTGGGGCTTTGGGGCAGCTCAGAACCGCCAACCAACTGTTGAGATGCGATTACAACCTTTATAGAACCTCCAACCCATGCCCAGTGGTACCAAAGCCTGATGGTCACGTGATTCAACACCCTGCTCTGAGTTGCCATCATATCCCTGTTGGTTTGCTCGCAAACAGGGCCGCCTGTCACCCTACCTTTCGTGAGTTCTTTTGGCCTTGAAAGTTTCCACACTCGAGGGCGTTCTATCGAACATCGGCTTTGCACTCACCAGCTTGCTACGAGTTGCTTATCAGTCCTAGTTGAGGTGCGCTGGCCTTTATCTTGATAGGCATGAACCTTACGAGCGTTCAAGGATGACCCATAATGGCCAGTCTTCTTCCTGGTCCGTCACTGACACCATTCGACTCAGCCCCTACACAGAAGGTGAATGGAACCTGCGGTAGTGAGCGGGGTTTTGCTGTGAGAGTTCCTCTCGAAATCGCGTGCTTGAGAAGATCCTGATGGACCAGCCGCTAGAATCCAGGGAAAAGTTCCCGTCTCAATACGTTGCTGCTTCAGGCGCTCGTCGAGGCTTGGGAGTTCAGGACGTCTTGGGCATGCCGGAACATCTACTGTAGTCCCGTTTGGGAAACAATCATGTCGTACTGCGCCGTGCGCCAAGACACAGATACCTTTGAGATGCCGAAGGCCGAAAGCTGGCTGAGAACACAACTCCTATTTAAGCGGATGACCATCTCAAAAAGCCCCCCCTGAACTGCACGGTTCGAGCCATGCAAACACGTTAGCCCTGGAGTAAGAGGGCGCCCTTCCAAGACATGCCTTCTTTGCTTAGCATGCTTACGTGCGCCATAACACTCACGAGCTCATCCCAGATCCTTGACGATGGTGCTGTGTTTGCCAGCAAGACCGGACCATAGCCGCTCGGATGTTCACATAAGGTCGTTGCAGTGGGTACGAACTGAGTCTCCTGTCCGCAATGCGCAGTTGGTGCGAGTATGGGTGTCGGGTGGTGAAAACTCTCTCTTGTGATAAGCTCATGGTTCGGATGGGGTCTCCGTCAGCTCTCGCGCGGATGGAAGGACTCGAGGGACCTCGGTCTTCAACGGTGGGGCCCAGAAGTTGAATGGACCATGTGGGATTGTTCCTGCTCGGATTTGGCCAATCTGGTTTGCAGCAACCTCAGGACGGATGTGCTCAATTAGCCACCTGCGGAGGGCCCGTTCACTAAGCGCTCGCTGCCAGGCTGCAGATTCAGCGACACCGCTGGGTCTGTGGTCCGTAGAGCCGCGCGCCTCCGGTACCCCGCGGGTCGTCATGGAGCTATGGTGTATGTACTCAGTACGTTGCCGCGCAACTTCGCATAGTGAATTGCCTCAGAGTAGTGTACCCGGGCTCGTGGCAGGCAGGGGTGGCCATCTCGGCCGGACAGCCATCCTCAGCGGGACGCCATCGCCGGGACGCCGCTATGAGGCGGCCAGACTTATAACAGGGAGAAAGATGATACACAGTATTTCGCCCAACAACTACCATACCCTCTTACCGAGTAATGCCTACTTCGACTTCCCTTTGAAAATTTGGATTGCAAAATATCTCAAAGGAATCAAAGGCTTCTCCTAGCAAGGAACCCTGGGGGCTTGGTGGCAGGTAACGACTTGCTTTTTTTTGCCGATAGCTTGACGACCGCGATCCATATGACCCGTCAGTGCTGGAGTGACCTGACAAGCTTCAAAATGGAGGCCTGTTCGCTTACATGCAAAGACCAGCCGTCCAAAATATCATGTTAGAGGGGCTGGGCGTTCCACCGCGGTGTTGAACTCGAGGCCCTTGATGTCACTACCAGGTACCGAGGCCGCTTGTCTGGTGGCTCGACGTTTCCTAGCACAGATCTGAAGTGTCGCGCTGCAATTGGCTGCGCTTATACCAGAAATTCCGGCAGGTGCACATCCCCTCTTTTATTGAACTCGGGACTCCATCCACTTTGCACGAATGACAGACCATCGGAGCTTCGAGCTCCCCTTTGCGTGTACTGACCAGGTCCGGATTACCGCCGCGCCTGCCCAGCCGCGACGAGTCTGATGGCGCGGGCAGCGGCCCCGGTGGCCGCATATCTGCGAACGCGCGAATCGAGCTGCTGCTCCCTAGAATTACATTGATTTTGCCCACGCCACGAGCGTATTTGTGGACGGCTTGCTGGACAATCAATGCACGGCTTCGGGCGCCCAAGCCTCGTGCTCCCTCAATACCAGTACCTAGGTATCAAGTCCTGAAATTGATCCTCATCAAAACTGAGCTCTGACGTGCCCGTCCCCCAAGTGGATCACGGCAAGGAAAGTATTCTACCTCGTTTAGCGCGCGACTGAGGCTTCCTGCGCCGTCAGGCTGGGCCAACTTGTACCATTGGTTGGACATGGCACGGACAGCAACGAGTCTTCCACCTCCGCTTATCCGAGCTCAAGCTTAATAACTAAGGGACGTGATCAACACTGTGTATTTAGGACTTGTGTGGAAACCGTACGGGAATTGGTCACTTGTCTTGTAACTCAAGTTGAGGCGCCAGCAGTCTGCTACATTGCGGGAGCTTAACAATGAATAGCGCCGAAAAGGGACCATGGTCTTGTCGGCGCGTCCATGAGCACGGTACGAGTGGGTCGCATCCGTGCTGACTATGTAATCATCGATAGACACCTGTACAGTAGGCAAGGCTTCCGATTCGCGCCTGATCAAACTTCTTGGCCGCAGATACCTTGCGTACAATTCATCCCTCGCCATGTTCAGCTTTGCATTTTCGATCCTACATTCGCAGAACCGGCATGGAAGCGGCTGTGCAGCTTACTCTCGGGAGAAATCGACGACTTCGTGCGGAACTCCACCGAGATTTTCGGCATGATATCGATAATATTTTCAAAGTGTGCGAAATCACCACGACGAGACTTCGTCATGTATGGATGTGCGACGTGGGGCGATATCAAACGTTCCATATACCTCAGATTCTTTTCGGGGTGTACTGCGAGGTCTGTTTGTTGGAAGGCGAGCATGATGGCGCTGATGAATTGCTGTCTTTGCTACCAAGCTGTTGGGTGGCTGTCCAAGCGACCTTGTTGTCGATAGAAGAGTACGATGCCTCCCCTCGCCGAGAGGACGCCATATTGGCGTAAGCCATCCAACGATAGACCAGATGAATACTCCTGACCGTGCAGGACATCAAATTAATGGAGAGCGCGATCGGAAATTTCGAAGACTTGTCTTGACTCTCACACGACCAGGCTTATCAAGCTTAACCAAAATGTGGGGTCGGGATGGTGTACGACAGTGCGCGGGGCGGCTTGTAATCAAGAGCTACTCCAAAGTATCCATAATCGGCTTCAACAGCAGTCATTCTCGCACTTCTGATCGTGGTTGCATGTACACGGTAAGATCGACTTTGGGCCCAGCCTGTGTGGGTCAAAGTTCAAAAAAAAGTTGCAGTGTGTTGCCAAGAGGAAGCAACATTTGATCCATTCTGTACTGTATCGCTTTCCGGCAGTGGTACAGATAGACAGCTTCGCGTCGATGATCCATTGCTCGCATGTCCTTTGTAGCAGAGTCGCCGGCCCAAACTCCCTTCTAGCTCGAGCATCGCTGGATACTGAGTTACTTTCACGGATGGCGAAGGTTGTGAGCACACAGGGTTTGCTTTCATGGGCGCATAAATAGAGCCATTTGAAGTAGGTTTGGCCGTTTGGCCGGTCAACTCATTGACTCTGAGCATTAGTTTTTGAGCAGTGACTACTAATATGAAAGAGATACCGGATATGGTTTCGGAGGTGACATCTCAAGGACGGAAAAGACCAACTTCGCTGAGCGTGAACCCTTTCTTGACTTCGTCCAGCCCTTCCTCAAGCAATTTGGTACATATGTCAACCAGCTGGCAATGTCGCGAGCTTGATGCATGATAGACAGAGTGACCCCACCGAGGAGTTTGGAAATCCTTGATCGCTTTCTCAAGCGCGGTGATACCATAGCCTAAGAATGGTGCACAGGGTTCAGGGTCCATTAGGTTGTGTTTAGCCATTTCCTTTGCCAGTGCACCAAAGAGGGCGGAAGAACAGCCAAAGTCGCAGCCGGTGAGGCCGCGAAGTAGAGATGTGCCCAGTGTTTCCAGTGTTCCCAGGATACCTGCTATGGCATCCTGCCTTCGAAGGTCGATTTGGTCTGCCACAATCAGAAGGGGTATGTACACAGGGTGGCAGGAATACAAACCGATCAAGTCTCCTCGGAAAGGTAGTCCAAGAGTCGGGAGAGGCCCTTTGCTCTCTGTGACGGCTGTCTTGGTGATGGTCTGGAAGATGTCATCTCGACGAAAGACCACAGCCACGAATAACCATAGGACCAGCTCGCGGTTGCACTGCGACGGCAGTTGTTCTTTGAGGGCGTCGATCCACAGAGTCGAGAAGAATCTAACAGTATTGTAACAGCTGAAGTAGTCAACTAGGACCGCGATCTTGGCAAGCTGTTCCAGGTCGATAAGACGGGGAATGTCTCCCGTTTTGGCATGGAAAATCTGCATCAAAATGAGGAGAGCGTCAGCGTCCCAGTCCCGTGTTCGGGCATGACGACGGCCATCTCGGGATTGCACCGAGGCCTCCGCCCATGAACCGCAGAGTTGGGCCTTGAAGTAGTGTGATGAGAGAATGAGATGTCGGGACGATACGATGAATTCAACGCATGAGACCGTAGAAACTGGGCTTTGAAGCCGAGTTTGATCGTATTTGACATCGGAGGGCGAGTCTCGGCTTTCTGGTGTTTGCGGGTGTAACGAGCCATTATTTGCAACGGGCGAGTCGGCAGTACTCAAGCTTCGGCTAACTTCATCTTCCGCAAGCGACAATTCGTCTACTCCGAGGCCGCTGATGGTCGCGACCGTTGGAGACTTAGACTCTTCTTGCCTCTTCTTCTTTCTCTTGTCCTTTTTGCTCAATTTCCTGAAGCTGCCTTCTGCTTTTGGTTCTGCCTTTAATGACGAAATCGAATTCCACGAGACTGGTCTGAGTCTTGCGTGCCCGCCTCTAAAGCGTGTTTCAAGATGCGTCGGGTTGTCAGGCTGGCTGTACAAAATGATTAGCTACGCCGTTCGACCTTATCTCCGAGCACGGGTAGTGCGATTCGTACCACAGGTTAAGTTCCTGAAGCCCGGCGGTGGTGCATTGATCCCACAGGGCAAAAGCTGGATTCGCATTTTCTAGGACAAGCACCACGTCCCCATCAGGATCGAGCGTGTGCGAGCGCTCCATAGGGTCGCGTTGCTCAAAGATAAGGTCGGTAGGCGCGGTGCGTAGAGGCGCAAACATGGCAGATGCTGGTTCCCAGTTCGGCGATGCAATTGAGCGTGGAATGGATAGCCAGAAAGGTGTTGTTCTTAGATGTCGTTGATGGCGCTGGACTGCCAAATAACTCATCACGGCGAACATGACGGGCAGGCCAGGCGTTGTGTCACTATGCGTATTTTCCCACGCAAGCTTCCCTTTCGCAATACTGTGCCGTACGCGCGCGCTTAGATGCAGGTTCCTCTAGCCAAGTTGCGCTGGAGTCTGTACCGGCATCCATATGCTTCCCGGCCAATCGCGCACTCTCGCTATGCACTGCATGACATTCCGCTCGATGAGCTGACAGTGCCGGGGGCATCGGCTACGTATATCGAGCTACTGTGTACAAACAGTAGTTCTCCAGCCTGCCATGTCTTGAGACCCCCGTACTCCAGTGACGCTGACCAATCTGCCAATCCGTTTGTCAATCCAGCAAGCAAATCAAGACATGCATTTCGGCCGAAGCTGATTCGCCTGGGTGCCTTGAGGGGCGAATGATCGATGCTATCCTAAAGTCAATGATCACCGACTCATTGGACGGTCCTTGGCTCCACGTCCAGTGGGTACACTGATTGTTGCCCCGGACTGTTTATTTCGCCATGGTCTGGGCTCTCCAGAAAACTCAAATCAGATTAGCGTGAAGAGAGGCTCGCCCTTGAACCATTGATTGGGCAGTGTTTTTGCTGACTTCGGAATATCAGGTTTCCGACAGCCGCGTCGCCAACCAAAGATGCAGAAGCCCGCAAATCCCCATCCACTAACTAACCAACCACTTACCATCCGCCATGACCGGATTATCAGAACAGATCAAGCGCAATCCCATTGGAAATGGGCTTGATGATGTTCGCAGTACTTTCAAGTCCGTATGTACCAGGGAAAAGACGCCATATTCTACAGATTCAGTAGATCAACTCGGCCAGGAAGGTACGAGCCCTGGCTCTCGCTGCTTAACCCCTCTAAATTATTCACAGATCTTCGGGACCTGACCCTCCCTCTCCTGGTTGCCTTGTAAAGCCACGTCCTTTCAATATCTCCACTATCGAAATCGGGCTGCGGCAGGATACAAAGTGATCTCCTCAGACTTATCTCGGCCTCAGTCTCCGACAGCTTCGACTTCAATCGCGTCAAACCACTTCTGAAAGCGGCTTGCTCTGATAAACTCGATGATGCCACCATCTGGGATCAAGCATATAGTGCCGTTACAGAAACCACGCCCCCCCCCCCCCCCCCCCGAAGAATAGCTTCCTCGCTTCAACAAACACCATGGCTGCGGAGCACGAGCAGTTTTACGAACTCATCCGAACACCGCCGATAAGTTGACGATATACTGAAGGAGGAGCTCAGCACTATGTACGTGGGACTTCCCGGATTCCGAGATGCGTACTTTGGAAGATTGGACGGACTAGAAGCTGCATCCAAGGAGGTTTTCGATCAGTGCCTTGATGGCCGCGAGCCTGTATTTCAAAATGGCTGGAAGGATGGCCCCGGGATCCGAACGAAAAAATCGTGTTGGAGTGGCTTACCGACATCGTAACGACGCTAGCGCTACTTGCAAAAGCCCAGAAGTCCAATACGACACATCAGCGGAGCCTCTTAATACAGCCCAACACGCCGATGCATGGTTCGACGGCAGACCGCAAACTAGATGTTGGGTCTGTTGATGATCGGGAAGGGCCTCCATACCACTGGAAGCAAATACTAGTACCCGGAGAACTAAAGAGTAACCCGTCTGCCGACATCGCCTACAAAGCTTGGATCGACCTTGGGAGATATGCGAGGGAAGTGCTCGCCGCACAGGACACCCGACGCTTTGTGATGGGCTTCACGCTCTGTGGATCTCTCATGAGAGTGTGGGCCTTTGACCGGCTTGGAGCCCTCGCATCAGAGCAGTTTGACATCAACAAAGACGGCCTGCAGTTTGTGGCGGTGATCCTTGGATTTCTTTGGATTGATGAAGAAGGCCTAGGGTTTGATCCAACGGTCATGGTGTCAGACAACGACCGATTTATCAAGATTCAGCGGAACGGTTCTACCGAGCAGATTGTTATTGATGGGGTCATCCTTCGGGCGCGTTGTGTGGCTGGCCGCGCTGTGACTTGTTGGAAAGCCCACCCCAAAGGACATCCAGAGACGCCGCTTATCATCAAGGATTCATGGCAATATCCCGAGCGCGATGAGGAAGGCGATCTTCTGCGTGAAGTGACGGACAAAGGCATCGTAAATGTGGCCCGGTGTTATCACCACGAAACGGTCCGGATTCGCGAGACAGATGATGACATCTGGAACAACGTTCGACATGGTCTAGATATCACGGCAGCGACGAATTACCGGCCGGGATGTCAGGTACCACCAAGCAAGATGGTGAAAGATGACTCGCGGAAGGGCCGTCCCGGCAGCAGCAAGAAGCGGCCCACCAGCCAAATCGACTCCGCTTTGCCTCCAAGCAAGCGGTCCTGCTCCATGTCTCCAACGAAGGTGCCAAGTACCCCACCCAATCGGGTTCATCGGCGCATTATTCTCCGGGATTATGGCAGTCCTATCTACGAGGCGACCTCTCGATCAGCCTTCCTTGCTGCTCTGGTATGCTGCATTGATGCCCACGAGTCTTTATGCAAGGCAGGCATTCTCCACAGAGACGTATCCATCAACAATCTCATCATCAATGAGGACAGTCGCAACCCATCCTGGTATGCTTTTTTAATTGATCTTGACCTGGCAATTCGAGAGCCAAGAGAAGGGTCCTCTGGTGCCAAGGGAAAGACTGGCACGCGAGCGTTCATGGCAATCGGGGCGCTGCTCGGCGAGCAGCATTCGTTCATGCACGACCTCGAGTCGTTTTTCTGGGTGCTTTTCTGGATATGCATTCATTATGATGCAGATGGCAAGGATGTTGGCCCGACCGGGTTTGATAGGTGGAACTACGAGAGCGATGACACGTTGGCTGAGCTCAAGATGGGTGTAGTTGCTGACGAGCAATACTTTCAGCAAAAGATTACGGAGAGCTCCACTGCGCAATACCAGCCACTAGTACCCTGGGTCAGAAAACTTCGGAGGGAAGTATTCCCTAGTGGGCGTAAATGGGACAGATCAGAGCCTGGGCTTTATTCCTCCATGAGGCAGGTTCTTGACGATGCACAGAAAGATCCAGAGGTGCTGGCAAACACGTAATGTCAGGAGACCGTACACTGTAGTGAAATAAGTAAGGCACGTTCATCTAGGCTACGAAAGATCGTTCTTACTGATATTTCAACAATTCCCGTCCGCATCGTCAGAAATCGACGAGACGCGGATCACCAATCAAAGGTTGATGCCCCCGGTGGCCTGTTCACTCTATGAAAGCCGTTGGATGATGTGCGGTGTCTACAAACGATCATTTCGGATATGGGCGAGGACGGTGATCCAGAGGACGCATCGAAGCAAGCGAAAGACCTTCTGCCATCAATCGTATCTCTGATGTCCATCGTCAGGCGAAGGCTCCCCGGTATCTCGCAAGGAGGGCAGTGAGGGTGTACATAACCTTGACTGACGCCGAGGCCAACAATATCATCTCATGGTACCCTTGACCGGGCTCGTGTTCATACCTAGAGGAGGGCAGATCTGGGCAGGTGATAATGGATCGGCACCGATGGGCTTACATTTTTTCTATCTTCCAGCGTGTTGTGTACGCTTTTCGCCGGCATCATCATTACGCGCGACTGCGATGTAATTACGACAGTTGTGACTAAGAAACTATCGACGTCTTTATGCATCATACCATGCGCCTTTGGGTTATCATTTCGCCGTACTACGAAGCTATCAACCGTCTTCATTCTCTTATCCCAACCAAGCAGCAGCAAGGCAGGTGGAGTGCCGGGTTCAGGGCGGACTTACGTCGATGCTTGCTGGTCCGATGTCCCGGTCGACCGATCCCTTGCCAACACGTCTTTGCCCGCCGTTTAGATCTGTTGCCTCTCCATGATTACAGACATGTTGCCGGGTGTCATGGCTTCCGGGATTGTAGCAGGGGACGTACCCTGATTGACCGGTGTGTGGGCTCTTGCCACCAGGAGCGGATACAATTCCAAGGTATTTAGAGCCGCGTTCTCGCACAACTGGATCGTCGACTTGAACTCCTTTTTGGCCTCACTTTTCCCTTCCTATCGCCTGTAGATTGATTTATCCCCCTACATTACAAGCACTCAAATGTCCAACTCTCACGTGGAACCGTCGAGCCTTCCGAACATCGGAACTCTTTACAAACAGCTCGGACTCACGACTCCAAGCGATCAGAACAAGATCAGAGCGAAGTTGAAAAAAACCATCAAATCGTATGTGTCCACAAGAAGTCTGAAATGCGAAGACTTTACCAAGTGGCACTTGCCCGAACATCAGGGTGAAATTCGTGGCGTTGTAGAAGCCTTTCTAGACAGCCACGCAGCATGGTTGTGGCCCTCCGACGAATATGCATCACAGAACCACAAACTGCAGTACCCTAAAGACAAGGATATGTGAGTCCATATGATTGAACCGCAATTAATCAGTAATTAACATAGGGTTGCTTTAGAATTGGAGAGACGATCTTCCGAGTTGTCTGTCGCCAGAGTTACTGGGCAGTGAGATACTCCAGTCAGCAAGGAAAGCAGAAGACAAGGTCGATGGACTACCAGGACTTCGAAGACGAAGAAGATAGCGATCTAAGTCCAGGAAACTTAGATCGCACACTGAAGGGCTTCTCCAGCCGCGTTGGGGGCGGGCACCTTGAGACCATACATGTTGCGTCTGTAGCCACCGCGGCAATCCTGCATCCAACACGCATGGAAGCATCGTTACACGAGTCTGCGAAGCGACATGCGTCCTCTGATGACCCCCCTGAAAAACGGATTCGACGACGTCTTATAGCGCACCTGAGCCGCAGGCCATTCCAGGACAACAATACCAACACCTGCCACGAGCAGGAGAATACCGTGGTAGCCGAGTGCTCAGCTCGAAGCACATCTAATCAGTCATATGACAACGACGACTTGGCAGACGACCCCCCAGTATCAGCGAGTGAAGCTCGTTCCAGAACCAATTCCACTTGCTCAGTCGAATCTAGTATTGCCGACGAAGCCGAGCCCGTCCCAGGTCTTCGAGCCTCGGAGTCAACCGCTGAAGACCAGCCGCCAGTCGGAGAAGATAGTGCTCGCGCTGTGTCTACGGACCAAGCTCTCGCAGAAACGGGCCCAACCGAGAGGACTGCTGCGACAACTCAACGAGAGTCGATTGCAGAGGCAGCGAGAAGCTATGATCCGGTCTTACCTGCCTCGCATGGGTTGATCCTCGGCGGCGAGGGATCGCCAATCTGGTCTGGTTTGAACAACACAGTTCAGTCTGCACCAGTGGTTGAGTTCAACTACGGCATTACCATACAGTACCCAGTGCACCTCAGGATACCGTGGACCCCCAGGGGTCACCTTGCTTCCAAAACCCTTTCTGACATGGAGAATGAACTCAAGACAGCGCTGGCGGAAGGGTTGACTCGAACGACAGGCAAACAGGACTTCGCTGACCTGAAGGACTTCCGGATTGAGTCGTGGCGTTTCGATATACGTGGTCATGACGCAATTTTCGAGTTCGACGTCAAGGGTGGGATAGAAGAACAGTTCGACCACATGAAGAGAAAGGCAAAGCAGGAGATGCGACTAGCGATCCAGAGGTCACCGGAGTCGAGACCGTCGTTCGACATCGAGATTCACATAGTCACCGGCCGAGATTCGGGGATCAGACAGACGGGCGGACGCAGCTTTGATTGGTAGCTCCTTGTGTGTTTCATGGGAGATGTGCTTCCTGGACAGAGAATCCTATCGTTCGTAACTTCCATATCAACCCCCAGACGAACGTGACCTGTTGCATAGGAGTTAGCTTACTTCGTTACGGGGAGGCGAGGGGCAACAATCGGATCCTAATAGTACGTAGTTTCCGAGAACCTCCCTGCGAACTCAATCACACGGCGGTGGAAGAAGCCCATCGTATCTCGAGACCTGCAGATAGGTCGACTGTCGATGATCAGACGGGTCTAAGCACTTTCCATGGTCCAATATGGGACTCTTTCCAGCCGGTCGGATGGCTGCTGACAGCCGCCGTATCACGGGAGAGAAAGTCATCGGTTCAGACGATGGTGTCGAGGGATTCTTTTTGGCACGGTTTGATTCGAGCGTTCAAGGAGCTGGTGGATGTCCTGATTAAATTGCGGCAGATCAAGCAACCAATGTTGGAGAGTCATCCAAGGCTCGTTCACATTTGTCACATCTATGACTTGCCATGAATCTTGTGTCACAAGCTCTCCTGCTATCGAACCGTGGCATGAGGCTCAAAATTTGAGACGCTGAGCTGGGTTGAATCATGAGAGTCGATGGTGTTGGCCAGGGTTGCAAGACGAGACATTGTTATTTCCCACATAGGTTAAGCCAAACTCACACTGATCCAAACGCAGTGGACAAGTCATGGAAGCAAGATGTAGGTAAAGGTGGGAATTGACACGTATTTGCCGACTGGTTGAGTTTGGCGGGACTAAAGATAGCAACGCGATCGGATTACATAGTCACCACTTACGTGTAGGATGAATCTTGGATGGTCTCAATTCGTACATCTGCTATCTCGATCCGGCTTCAGTGTTGCACTGGTAATTCTTCGAAAACAGTGTCCTCTCGAGCTTGGGTCACGAAGACTGAATCTAATTCGCCTGGCTAGGATTCGAACCTGTGAGGTAGTTCAGAGCCATTTCTGCGGCGTCCTCCTTTGCATTGTTCAAGTTCTTCCCATCGTACCAGAACCGGGCCGAGAGCGTGCGCCCGTGGACGGTCACCTGGCTAGACCAAGCTGTGCGCCCTCCTGCGAAACAGTCAGGACCGCTCAAATAGCCAGCAGCGTATGCTTACCTCGCCGATCGGAGACGACTTGGAACACAGGTGGCATGATGTTGGCCTCTCGGCAGGCATCTATTCGCTGTTCAGACCCGGCGGCGCGGGATAGAGAAATCTGTCGTACCTTCAAGGCGCTCTTGCCAGGTTCCTGCCTGGCTGCTGTAGGAGGAGGCAGACATGGCATCAAAAGAAGGAGCGTGTGCTACACACTGCACTTGACATCCCAAAGGTCCCACGCTCGAATACTAATACCCGTGGCGAGCTCGTAAAAATGACAACGCCAGGAGATACGTCGGGGACCTACGGAGTGATGGCCTGCGCTTTCGGCGCGCGACCCACACTCCGGTGAGCATAACGTCCCAGGACTTTCCTGGCGCGGCGGGGTAAGACGGCCCCACGCCGGTGGTGCGGAAGCCGGGCCAGCGCCGCGGCCGGAACCTGGTCCCTGCGTCTGGGTGAAGGGGGGCGTTACGCGAGGGCAATTGGGGCGTGTGCTACTTGCCCTCCATTCTCCGTCGTTCGCAGACAGCGCCAGGGTCGGGGCGTGCGCTGGTAAGCCCGCAGAAGTGGCGGCCGCTGACGTCCCCTGCATCACCGAGCATGGTACACTACACAGACACCCGCTCCCTGGAGGAACGCCACGGGATGAACGGATCTGACTCCGTGTGCAGCACCCCGGTCGGAGGGCTGCAGCAAGCGGACGCCCTGACACGGCCGCATTGGCCTGTCTGCCACGTTCGATAAGGTTAGCGTGTACTTCGTAGTTGTGTGACTACCAGTCGTCTGATGATTGGGTCCACCAACAACGGCTACGCCTGTTTTGACTACAGCGAAGTCGAGTCAACGACGGCACTGACGATGGGTTATTGCGATGTGCAGCGGCGACCTCGATGTGCTGTCGTCCTGGCTGTTGGAAGAGAATGCCAGCTTCTACCAGAGGTGGCGCTTCTCTGTCACACAATCTTGCAGACACAACCGTGAGTCCGTGACTCTGCTCGAAGGAGGCGGTCAAGACACCTACAGCTGAAGCGGGTTCAGGACTTTGACCAAACGCCCAGCGAGACCGTTCAATGTAGCCGAGTCATCGCGCTACAGGTTGTTTCTTTACGAACCGCAGGTACCCGGACGAAGGGCCAACTTCTCAAGCGCAGCTGCCCTGTGGCGACGAGGCTGCAGCAGTCGACGTGGACATGGTAAACATGCATTCCATTGACCGCTGTGCTTGAGTGCCCACATCGGTCAAAACGGGAAGCAACTGGTAGATCGTTTTGTTGTTTTGCGCCTGGTATCTGAACAAGGGCATGAGTTCGTGTTGGCGCATCCACCGACGGGCTGTGGCAGTTCGCAGGGTCATTGTGATTGGTCGCTCCATTGCCCACCATCCACGGAGGCTGAAGATCTAGCGGGGCGTGGAAACAAAGCCAATGCTTGCTCAGAAAGAAAGCCAAACACGCCCCCTTTTACTGGGTAATGTACCCATGTTCGTGGCTGGCAGGCATTCGGACCGGGGAGGCGTGCCTGCACCCCTGCTCCTCGGTTCACTATGAGGGATCCTGTGGGTGTGCTCTCTCCATCCTTGTCGGCGCATGGTGCAGGGGCATGGGACACCCGACGCCGTCTCGCCAACAGAGTCTCGTCTGCGTACCGCCTCGAGTCGTGTGAAAGCCATCCCTCGGCCGTGTACCAGCGCGCTGGGGTCCTCATGCGGAGATATGGGCATCTTGGCTGGGCGTGCCTCGTCTGTATTGGGCAGTCAGGTCCGTGTAGGGTGGGTGACTGGAAATGTTCGAAGAATCATCCCTAGCCATCAAGGGCGAGCATGCCTTGACCGTCGGAAGGTCGACACTCTCCGGGGTCTGCAGGCGCCTACTCTGCGTGAGGGTACAAGGTTGGATTCAGGCAGCCAATTACACCACCGCACGCGCGCGAACGATGTCCCCGGAAGGCGATGAGTAGCGAAGTTGCATTTTGTGAACGCCTCCTAGTTCTCGAGCGATGGGCACAGCGCAGGCGAAACGCTGTGCACGCACCGGACACGCTGCTCTCTCTGCTGATGATTTGATCGTTCGGATAACGGAAGCGCGCTTCAACGTCATGGCATCCACCAAGTGTCCGTTCTTCTCTGGTATCAATCAACGAGGTTCGTGAGCGTGACGATACAGGCACCTCGCACAAGGCTCACATCTCTAGATTCGTACGAACGCTGTAGCGGTGAGGTGGAAGAATACGCAGAGGACCACGTGAATGCGGAAGACATGTCCGAAAGCTTGATGAAGCTGCAGAGCGCCTTTCACGATGAAAACAACTGCATCATTTCTGCTAAATTCAGCGCGCCAGAGGTAGTGACGCAAATGAAGAGCGGTGGCGTTGGGTTACCGACGACGTTCGACGTCGACTCTGGTACTCTGGGCTCGCGACCTGCCGGCGAAAGGTTGAATCCCTCAAACCATGCGCCATCACCAAGCTGCGACTGCGAGCTTCTGTAGATGTCGCAAAATCAATTGCCAGACTTGCTTAGTTCAAACATCGAGACAAAGAGTCTGGATGTGAACGGCGCGACGGAGTCCGTCGACGATTTGGAAATCCCACACAAGACGCCGTCGCCCAGTCTTGGGTCCATGGCCACAGAGAGAGTAGTGGTACTCCTCATTCCAAACCCACGGCTGATGACGGTCATCGCCGTCCTCATCGTAATTGTTCGGGTGCTCCGCCAGATGTGTCAGTCTAGGAAGTGCCCCCACGTGTACCTGACATGAATTGATCTACAAGGCAATTTTGATCACTGGAGGGCACTGCTCTCAACTCTTAGACTAAATGAATGGTTTTCTCGGCACAAGGCACAAATACGGCCTGAGAATGTGAGGGTCTAAGACATCTAGCCGCTGCGCCCCTCGTTTCGCTCCATGCTCATTTCTACACTTTCGTCTTTCCGGGACCGCTCCACGCCAACAGGCCTTAGATCGGACATAGCCATACCGTTAATGATTTGCTCAGCTGTTATGATATAGGCAATTGGGCATTCGGGAACCCTGGCGACGACCATTCCACAGAACGAGGTTCCCCTAACCAGCCACAAGCCGTTTGTTCCGTGGGCTATCTGCGTCAGACTTTGGGGAGATGCTCGTGTTCTTATTCGAACTGACCTAAGGGTGTTTTCAATTCAATCTTGCGGATCCTTATGGTGGTGTTTGTGGGTAAAGTCCAATATATCTCTCTAGAAACCAGGGACGCTCTGAGAAGGGTTGACCCATCCATCACGATCGACAACGGCCCTGCCGTGAGCTCGTCATCCGCACAATATGAGTCAATGGTCTGTGACTGACCCGAAGTTCCGGGAATGGTAAACTTGTTCTCAAGTTGGGGCCATGATCGTGGTTTCATGAGAGTGTATTCGCACATGGCGGGGGCCGAAGTTTCCTGCCTGGTCCAGGCGTGGAGGAAGTTGGTAGCAACGATTTCGACGGGTTGCCAATCGATAGCGAGCGCAGTCACGCTAACTGTTGGGCAGGGCAAAGCCGAGATGTCGGTTGCGGAGTCGGAGTCGGAGTCGGAGTCGGAGTCGGCATTCTCGTCGGCGTAAGTGCAAACATCTTGATCGACTTGATCGCTATCACCGATCGATTTTAACCAATACGTCGGCTCAAAAGCATACTGTAAAACTTCGCGTCCGGTTGTCATCAACATGCCACAGAGATGGGATTTCTCCTTTCCGAGAATGGCGGTGGTCAACACTCCTCCGACCCGGGACAAGTCTTGCTTGATCACTTCGTCATTCTCCATGTAGGTAGAACAGCAGAACAAGCCGCACGCTGAGTTAGGTTCCGAGTCCGACGCGCGGCCAACGTGATAAAGCACTTTTCCGCCACGCAATTCGAAAGCAGGGGCATGTCGCAACTGTTCTAGAGGGATCAAACCACCGTTGTTCTCACGGTCTCGGGACAGGAGCTGCGTCATTTTGTCGTCGCCCGAATAGAACGGACCTCGTCGTTTAGATGCGCAATGTAGCGAGGGGGGCGACCAGGTTTTTTGTAGGCCGACGCCATTCAGCGAAGCTGCGCGGGTTTATGACTTTGAAAGTCAAGTGCTCATGGAAGCCGGCGCATGCATGTGTGTCATTACGCCCTGGACCTGCCGCCGACCCAGCCCTGCAATTAGCCCAACGCTTAGATGACCAAGCCACTAGCACCGGCCCCAGCCTGCTCCTCGTGTAACGTGGACACCGGTCAAACGTCTGCTTTTGTAAGCCCACGGTCTGATCAACTCTTGAACCACGTAAGATTTGAACACCACGGTACCACCCCTCGAACCTGAACGAAGGTCGGCCATTGATGAAGGTCTTGGATTCGATCTGTGAAACCCTCAACGTACCATGTCTGTGCGCTTCGTTTACGATGGATCCATCAGGCGCCTCTTGCGTGGCCCAAGATTTCCGTAGAGGCTTGCTTTGGAAGCATTTTCAACTCCAGCTGCCGGTAGAGGATGTCTTCGCATATCCAATCATGGCAATGATTGATAGTATGCACCGGCTGAAGGCAAGAGTAGATGATTTGCATCACAAGGACACGTTCTCTTGGTCTAGGTCATCACGACGTGCATCGCACCATGTCATGCCGGTGACTGCGGCACCTCCTTGGAGCCTAGTGTGATAACCCCCAGGTTTACTTCGTCTGCGCATGAATGCACGCATGATTTTTGCCCCTCTGAGTTGTCGCAACATGCATCTCACTATGTCTTGCTGGCGAAAATAGGTCGGGACCACGGCAGACCTTTTGCATTCAGGGAGATAACCCCAAGGCATGAAGGGAATAATGTAGGTCCTCAAAACGCAGCCAACACTTGTTAGATTCTTCCCCATGACCGTGTGATCCAATCATCTCACTAGCACAGGGGAGTGCTGCCCTGCACAGCGGGACATCTGAGCCGACCCGTCAGGACTCTAGGTGGATGAGGCTCCGCGGGCCATGGTCTTGCACAGCTACAAAATCGCCAGAGCGCGAAGCATTCGACTCGAGGCATATTCTCTCACAGATCTGACCCTCTTTCCGTCAATCACAATGCAGAGACTTTCGCACGAGCTCCTCCTCCTTGTTGCCAATCTCCTCAGCCCTGAGGATCTTTGGAATCTCAGTCTTGTGTGTAAGAAATTCGTTTTTCTCATGCACGATGAGTCCTGTGCAAAAACCATACTTGAGGTTAGAAGATGTGCTCCCCAAGTATCTCCACCTGACAGAATCTAACCTAAATCAAGGATCACGCCCCGTTTTCCACCGAGATGAGAGATGCGCGTCCATATGGAAATTACGCTCGTGCATTTCGCCGACGAGCCAAGGTCCGCGATGCCGTCACCATGGCCGAGCCATACTTAGCAGCCGTCGTTGCGCACGCGAATGAATACATCTACTGCAACGGCATGCTTTGCTACACGCAGATAGAAGCCCGAAAACTTTGCCTTCATAGTATTCACCAGTCGGCGCCGAAGAAGATCGAAATAAGCGTGGACAGACTGCTTGCTTCCATGCTCCAAACTCCTCCGGCACAGAAGTATAAGTTTCGACCTATACACTTCTCAGACAACATTCTGTCCTGCCTGTACATCCCGCGTGAGAACACAGGAAGTAAAAAACTTTTCGTCATCGATATTGAGAAACGGAGGAGTTTCCTTCCTAAAAGCCTCCATTCCTGCAAGAAGCCATTTGTCAGAAATAATCAGGAGTATTTGTACTATGGAGCTTATGACGACGACGATAAGTGGAAGCTTAAAGTTTTGAGTCTGAGCAAGGATTCCTGGCTACCTGGCCTTCTGGTCTTGGATGATCTCGCCGGCTTCGACGTTGGGATCACGCTGGCCTTCGAAATCGTGGACGATCACTTCTACGCTGTGTCAACCGTACCAAAAGATGAACCTGAAGGAACTGGTCACTTGTCTCGTTATCACGGCGTGCGCTATCCCCTTGGTATGCACAATCTCGAGAATAAGCAGCTGATGTCTGAATCCATGTTTCGTCGCGATCACCGAGACGGCCCGATGGATAACAGATGGACGACCCTCAGCCTCGAGAAAGACTCCAAAACAGGAGTTCTTGAGGTCGTGGAGTGTCGAAGAGAATATTCTTACAACGGCAACGGGAAATCGAGGGCTGCCTCGAGCTCGAGGACTGCGTATCGAACGGCGGTCGATTTCTACAACGACGAGCCTGCTGATGATTCGGTGTCTATAGGAGAAGGCATTGAGCAAGAGTCCGTCCAGGTGCCTGGCTTTCAAGATCAGACACCGCGCTCCCACGGAAGTCCATCGACCTTTCACCGAGGAGACGATAGCTTCACAGAGCCGCTCATTACCTTCAACAATTGCTTTGTGAGGTCCTACAACAGCCCCTGCGGAGCTTTCTTGGACTTGATCAACCCTGCGGCTGTAGGTGAGAAGCCTACGAGCCTACAACTGCGAAGCATGACTCGTTTGCAGGCGGCAACGCACAAGCAGCCAGACTCTCGAGAAACAAACCACATCGAAAACGTGATATCTTACTGGACACTTCAGATGAAAGCAGATGGAGAATCAAAAAAACTGGCTGACACCCTCATCCCACATGGTCAAGACTCCCAGTGGGAAATTTCCGGAGTAGCTGATGACCGATCTCTTATCTACATCTCAGGAAACACGAAGACCAAAAATTTACGCCCTCTGGTGCTCATCTCTTTTGACCCTTCCATCAAACTGCCTGGGGTTCTCAACTGGCTGGGGGCACCACTGCAGAACACCAAAGGAGTTGAGGTGAAACCTCATCCTGATGCGCCAGCAAACCAGGGCGGTTAGCCAATCCTGCCGGGGTCTCCGGCGATTGTATCGATCAACGACCTTCTCAAGCCTTCGCACCGGAGCTCACTTTGGCTTGTCCGGAAGCACTTATTTGGCTTCGAACCGTTGAAGCCATGTCTCCGAGCCGGCTATGTGTACCCTTGGGTACGATGTAGCGTACGAGACATGAGGTTCTGGAGAACGTTCCCGCTGGAGCAGTCTGGCATGTGGAGAGCTAGAACCGAATAGTAATACAGGGCATCTTGAGGAATGACGGGCTGTTGAAACTTGCGGAATTATCAATGGATCTTCTTGAAGCTGGCTCAAATGTTCTTTACACACCGTCGCATTGAATAACTGAAGCAGACATTGGCCAGCTGCGTCGAGATGCTACGACTCCGTCTGTAATATAAGATGAGGTCTTTGCCTGCTGAAAGTCTATAAAAGGTGTACACAATAAGATGAGGATATTCTTGCATCAAGTCAGGTACCACGATCTTGAGAAGTTGAGGTCAGAATCCGTCAGGCTGTACTTGTCTTATTGCCAGGAATCACGAAGCAAAACAGTGGTCTTCTTGTTACCAGAAGTCGTAAAGTGACTCCAAGTGTCATCTCCGGAGATGTTATTCAACGTCTCGAACTCGAATCATGATCAGATTCAAGCAAGCCATGTGACGTAGCGGATCATTTCTGTAGACATCTTCAAGCAGCCTGGCACCACGCAACTCATTAGAAGCTGTGGAACGTTCACCGCACCAACACATATAATAGAGAGTTGAAAAAGAGTGGCCAAGGCCACGCAGAAAGACGTTTTCTCGGTCCCTGGGACCCGTGGAATAGATACCTGTGACGATACGGAATACCTCGCGCAGAGTGATATGTATCCTTACTCGGCTCCATAAAGCTTTTTAAGTCGTCCACTACAGTCCATTTCTGCCTTTCATTCATAGCAATGGCAGACATATCGCGTGAACGTGATGTGACCATCTCCCACTTGGGCTCCTGATAGCCCGAAGCTTGGAATGTCGCCGCTTTGCCAGACTTTCGTTCGAAGTAAGCTGCTTGGATCGACCTCAAAAGTTCTCCGATGGCTGTCGAATCTCGACCTAGCCTTTCGATCGTAATCGTTTCTCTTCGCCCTCCCGGCGTTGCTCGCTTATCTTGCCGATTGATCCAGCATATTTTGCGCCGAAAGAAGAAATAGCTTCTACCGGGACTTGGAGTAAAGAGCAGTGGCTTGTCGGAAGAACCCTCGGTATCTCCCATTCGAGAGTGGTTTAGCTATGGCGTCTCGTCCAGACCCACTATTCGGTGTCTCTTCGAGAGCTCTTCGAACCTGCTCGCCTCTTACAGTGCCACCGGGTAATAGAAGTCATCATTGCTAATCAAACAGGAAACGGCGACCGCATTCCAGATGAATTCGGCCAGTATCGTGGCAAGATGTTTGAAGATGATAGCGACATAATTACTTAGTATCTGAAGAGAGAGCAATCCCAGGAATGTGCGGAAATCGTCCTTGAGCGCCATGATGAGAGTGTTGAGTTGTTTCACGCCAGCCACGGGCATGAGCATAAGAGGAGAAGCGTAGATTTTCTATAGTGCTTCGATATTGCACGAGTTTCCTACCCATGATTAAACACAGGAACTGGCATCATCTCACCCCATGCTAACGATCCTACGGCCTGACACTTAGTCGCTTTGCGTTTGCCGCGCCGAAAGTCAGGCTCGGCATACCAGAGTCAGCCCGAGATCCTGCTGCCGAGGGACTTCCGTGGCCTGCGAGTGGATCACGAGAGGTGATAATGCGAGGCAACATCCATAATCTCATGAATATGCTGTGATACGAACGATACCTTGGCCACTTCCATATCGAGCTTATGCGGATCGTTGCGCACAGGAAATTCTGGGCGTCTCGCGCGACGGGATGAGCTGGCCCGTTGCCTAACTGGTATTCGCAGTCTGTAATCAGGTCGCCTGGTTGCCTAACACAATTAAGCCCATTATGGCAGCTACGCCGAGATTTTCTAGAATGCAAGGCAACGGTCTGTCGCATCCTTACCTCATGGCCAGCATTCTCTTGCTGAGCCTTGACCGGGGCCCTTGACGTCTCCCACCTCTCGGATGTCGATCCTACAATACCCGCCTGACGCCCGCGGCTGCCTCGTTGCGCGGGTATGCACCAGTGCGAACCACCGTCCATCCCTTTTCGCCTCCCGTGCGTCGAGTCTACTCGACGAGGCTGTCACGCACTGCTGGTTGAAAAAGCACCACGAGCGTTATAGTCAGGTGAGTCACCTTTTTCTGTTCTCCCTCCCCTCTTAGTTTCATCCCTAAACGTCCACTCACCTATACTGCTACTCTTGCCATAACTCGGGAAATTGTTAGCTGGATTGTAGTCTTTATCTCCTCTGTCCCCCTCACCGTCGCAGACCGCTCTTAACCTTGCCGTACCACTAAGTTCCCTTGCTTATTCTTTCCCGTCTCGCAATGCACGGCTACAGCTCTTCAGAGGAGTCGGACGACCCTCGTCGGCCCATTATTACCGTGCCAGACAATACCGAAGACAAGAGGAAGAAGAAAAAGAAGAAGGCGCCTCCTCAGTTTTCCATCAACCATATCTGGAAGACGTTTCAGAACAAGAATTTCAACAAGGCCTTGGCTGTCCTGCCATTCGACCCCGTTCTACCACCAGCGAGCTCAGATAAGCCCAATGAACTGCTTAGCGCTGGATACGACCTAGCTGTCGAGGAGTGCCGCCGGAAAGTCAAGAAGATTATCCAAGAATGCCGCAGAGTTAACATGCGATACAGGGATCCCGGATGGGATTTGGTGGGCGGCTCTATTTCAATGCCTGATCATACAAAGCTTGGGAACTGATGCGTTTTTCAGGATTGGGATTTGAAATTGGAGAAGGGTCACTGTCTAAACAGTCTTAGCCACACTACATGGGAGGTTTCTAGAACGACTCTGTCCAACCCAAGCGCATATATTCCCAAGGCAGTAAAGCGTGTTCACGAAATATTTGAGAAGCCAACCTTCTTGGAGAACGTCAATGGCGGAGATGTGAAACAGGGAACACTCGGAGACTGCTGGCTTATGGCCACGCTGACGGCCCTAGCTAATGTCGCGGGCGGTATTCAGCGCATCTGCGTCAAGTGCGACACCGCATCGGAATCTACGGTTTCGTCTTCTACCGCGATGGCGAGTGGATTCACTCCATCATCGACGACAAGTTGTACCTCAAGTCCCCTTGTTGGGATTCGCCTAGTATGCAGCGATCTCCTCCAGCAGATCGACCAAGAAGATGTCGAGCGCGTCTACCGCAAGACCTATCAGACCGGATCCAAGGCTCTGTTCTTTGCGCAATATAGGGACCAGAACGAGAATTGGGTACCGTTGATTGAGAAGGCTTACGCCAAGGCTCACGGTGACTTCGCCTCGCTCGCTGGCGGTTGGATTGGCGAGGGACTGGAAGATCTCTCAGGTGGTGTCACCACTGAGTTGCTTACCTCGGATATCCTCGATCTTGAGGGTTTCTGGGAAAACCAGCTTTCCAAAGTTAACGAGGAGTTCTTATTCGGTTGCTCTACCGGCCTTCTTGATGGAGGCTATGGTGAGAGAAGCGGCATCTCCGAAGGCCACGCATACGTTATCATGGAGGCAAGGACGCTCAGATCCGGAGAGCGTCTGATCAAGCTCCGCAACCCTTGGGGCAAGATTCGTAAGGGCGTCTGGGAGGGCGCTTGGTCTGATGGTTCCAAAGAATGGACCATGGAAGTCCAGGAGGAGCTTGGTCACCACTTTGGCAACGACTCTGTCTTCTGGATCAACTATGACGACTTCCTGCGCAAATTCCAACATATCGACAGAACCAGACTCTTCCGCGACCCCGCTTGGAGATGCGCCCAACGCTGGATCGGGGTCGAGGTGCCGTGGAAGGCGCAGTTCAACGAGAAGTTCCAGCTCAAATTGTCCAAGGACGGGCCGCTAGTCCTGGTTCTGACTCAGCTTGACACACGATACTTCAAGGGACTTCAGGGCCAGTACGCTTTTCGCATCCACTTCCGTATTCACGAGCGAGACTGCCCTGGTGCCGAGGACTATGTCGTACGCTCTCACGGCAACTATCTCATGGATCGGTCCGTTTCTATCGAGTTGCCAGACATGCCTACCGGAGAGTACAGCATCTTCACGAGCGTCACTGGTGAGAGAGACACCGACATTTCCTCTGTTGAAGATGTGGTCAAGCGCGAGTGCAAGAAGCGCGTCGAGAACGAGAAGCTGGCACAAATTGGTGCTGCATACGACTTAGCGCATAGCAAAGGCACTGCACATCTCCAAAAGGTCGCCAGGCTGCGAAAGATCAAGGAGCAGCAAAAAGCCTCTGAGTCTCGCCAAAAGGAGCGTCGCAAGCGTTGGGAGCGACGACGCAACAACCGCGAAGTCACCAAGCAGCAGACCAAGAAGAATAACGATAAGCGCGATCGCAAGCTTGCCAAGAAGGCGGAAATAGCCAAGGCCACGGATGAGTCGAATGGTAGCGAGCCTAATCTCGACAGCTCTTCTACTAGGAACGGCGAGGAGACCAAAACGGCGTCTAATGACAAGTCTGAGGGTGAAGCTGATGGCGACGAGTCGAAAGTGGAGCCCAAGGAGCAGTCCAAGGGGGAACGTAAGGAGAGATCTAAGGATGACTCGGAGGATGACTCTAAGGGCGAAAGCAAGAGGGTCGCCGAGGATGACAAGGCCGCAGCCAGACCCGTCCCTGTTTCAACACCGAAGATTGACGACTCCGACGGCAATTCATCCGACTCGCCCATTGAAGACTGGGAAAAGTTGTACAGTGACGATGACATGGTGAGAAAGCCGCGCCTCACTCCTCCAGGACCACCAAAAAGACATGATGAGCGCTACGAATCTGAGGAAGACGGTCTTCCCGATCCTTGGAATGCTATTTGCATTATGGGAGTTCGCGTCTACTCTATGGACGAGGATCTTGAGGTCCACATCGTCATGGAAGGCGGCGAGCTTGTCGAGGGCGGTATGGGCAAGAAAGGAGAGGCGGATCTCGAAAACGCCCAGGTAAATGCGGACGGAGAGCGGGAACAACGCGAAGACCTCGAATCAGATGAACCGCATAAGTCTGGCATGAACAGCTACAGACTGCGACATGATTCAGTCTGAGACCTCGACTCCATGCCGTGTGACTACGACACAAACGATCTTATGAGAATCCGAAAAGAGTCGGCCAGAAGAGGAGCGGGATAGTAGACAAATTGCATAGAAAAGATGTTTCAAATGGCTGTGTCAAAGGGATTGAACATCAAAAACCGAAAACCGCTCTTGGCCGGAACGGCCTCTGTAGACACACACACCCGTGTCACTTTCTAGATTTTTATTGATAGTGAGCATGTGTCTGCTGTCTCAATTACCATGAGGTCTCTATAACAAAGGCCAAAATTTCCTCAAGCCACAATGTCGACGCATGCTTCACCATCAGCTTCAAGTCCCGACCAGCCCCCACCGTACTACGTTTACTTTGACTATAACGGCGATACCAAACACACCAGCCACCGGCTGGCAGCCCCAAAAACACTGCAAGATGAAAGGACAACCAGTCAACCAAAGCAACAGCGACAACGGCTCAACTATGACTCAATGGCCAGTGAGACAAATCCAAGGACACGGCGAGTTTGATAGCGTACTCTATTACAACGTGGCTGTGGAACCAACCTGGGAATCTGAAGACCGACTTCAGCACATGTTGCCAGCTCTAGTTGCTTGGGACAGACGTTATGGCTGTTCTGATTCCAGAAAACCACCTTTGCGTCGATATGATCCTACCTTGAAGCATTGGTCGGGGAAAGTCACCGGGCGACGCCAGGCCGACGGCCTGGCGTACTACAAGATTGAGTGGCAAGTGACTAGGGAGCCGGCGGCCAATTTAAAGAATGCCACGAGCCTCGCGAAGGAGTATTGGGATAAACTGTATAGTCTATAGCCTGGCAACAGAGGGGAACGTGGAGATGACAGAGAGCAGATATGACCATGGGGATTGATTGCTGTCGCGAGACCATGCAAAGCGACACAAGAATATTGCACTTAAAATTGTTCTGAAATGATGGGGATATCCTGGATCAAATTTGCCTACATTATGAGACGTAAATGACAGAAGCGAATAGCGAACCCAATCCGCTTCTTTCGCAAATCGCCAGGTCCAAGGTGTAACACAAAATTGCAAAATAGTGCCGACAAACGTTGTATTTCATTTTCCGTCCATCACATACAGCAGACTCGCTTCGAAACAACATCAGCCTCTTCCATACACCTCTTCATAGAATTGGGGCTCTCGGTCAGCATCACCTCCTCTGCTTCAGCACGCTGTTCAGTTGCGTCCTCTACCGCCGTCATCGCCAACGCCATCAGCGGACCAAAAGCGTCACCTTCTAGGTCCACATCCTCGTCATCGGGTGATAGACCGTACGTCTTCTCCAAGGCATTCTCGAACGTGCCGCCCGTAAAGCTTGAGTGCAGATCTACGACAGGATCGGGAATCTTCCGTCTGGAGCCCTGGAGCGACATTGAAAACGCTGCTGGCGACGCGGTATTGCATGACAGTTCCATAGGCGACATTTCGAACTCCAGGCGGCTGATGCGCTCGGCCTGCGCGTTGATGGTATGACGCTGCGTTTCGATGTGAGCCTTGAATTGTCGGCAGTCTTCGTGAAGTTGCTGAAGCTGCGCATCCCTGGAGGCGCCATAGTCGCGCCAACGCGAGTTGCATGCTGTCATCTCGTGGATGATGATCGCGACGAGCCGTGCGGTGAGGTTGTCGGGTCTGCCGTTTGTTGCAAGCTGAGGTACTTCCATGTTGATCTTCGCTGTTTTCGGCACTGCCACGCTCATCAAGCATCTGGTCTGTATGTACGGCGTTCTTCCAAGGAAAGCAATGTCATTGGAACGACTAAATAGTTTCTGCAACCATCCAAACTGACCGTTCTGCAATGGTCCCAAGCGGGCACAAAGCTGCTGATGAGAGGTTGCCACCATGCGCAGCCATAACCAGCTCTAGATTTTAAGAGTTGGTCACAGTACGTGAGAGTAAACTGACGACTCCTGGCCTGATAGAAGAAAAAGAAGAAGAAAAAGCTAATAGTGCGTATTGGCAGAACAGTCTTTTTACGTACTGTACTTTTCCTCATTGTCTGGAGCACCGTGGCTCAGATATATAGCACGTACATCTGTACGGTACCTTATAAGTTCAAGCCACGATTAAATGAAGATGGTTTTTGCATATGAGTAAGGGGACCGATGTGGTAATTGAGCATAGAGAAGCAGGCCAGTGGCTTCCCGCCGGTCACGATCTAGCGTGGTTATCACCAGCCAGTCATGTAAATGGCGCTCCGCCAAGCACCCGACTTATCGAGGCTCGATCGAACCTCGCCTCTGAGGTGCCATTTCCATAACCACGGGGACCATTCCGTCGTAAGTCGTTCTTTCAGACGTGATGTCTCAGACTGCGGTAGGTTGATTCGTCCAGCTTGCGCCTGTGGGGTGCTCAGTGCCTAGGATCATGCATTCTTCACGACTACCGTGATAGTCCGTAGCTCCTCGCATTCAAAGCATAGAGCGCAACCAATACACTTCCAACAGACCTCTTTGAAACGTCACGCGGATCTTCTTGGTGATTGGCCCATTTATACATCACAACCGTTCGGGTGCCACCATAGTCTGGCTGAGCTGTGTGGCCGTCGCAAGAGTCTCCCAGAACTTGCAAAGCATAAAACCACAGCCGTTTCTCAGACTGCTGGTTTTGAATCTTTTTGATTATTGCTCTTTCTCGAACCATTCTAGTATTTATTGGCCCTTTGCCGACGCACCTCTTTCGCCATATCCATACTACCCCACGCCCACAAAGGTTGCATGCTCAATGACGGGTCTCCGCTGGAAGAGCTCAAGTACTGCCACCTGGGTCGACAAAACCAAGGCCATCGTAGAAGGGATCGCCTCCCGGCTGAAGTCGTTATGTACGTTAAGGCCATCGCCCCGGTTTCCAGAAAGATTCTGATCTTTACCGCAGTTACCCCCTTCAAGAAAATCACAGGTGATTTGGCATATGACAATGGTAGCACTGCCGAATGGGTTCCTACTATCGTACCTTGTCGTCGGCTCGAACCCGACGGAGGTCAGGATGTCCCTCGGGACGAATCTCCCTGGTGGATACTGCGAGAACCGGCGCCTCCGGGGCTTACCACTCGAGGCATGAGTAGCAGTTCTCCCCAATGTGGTGCAACTTCTGCATAGTCTTTGGCTATGCAGCAGTTTCTTTTTCGCATGCAGTTCAAGACGCGACTGCTAGTGAACACAAACGGGGGGGCGTGGTATCTCGCGTGATGTGAGGTCTAGGCGCGTGCCATTCAACGGGAAACCATCCGATACCCCTTGACCATTGGGTGTCGTTACCGTTTCTCTCAAACGCATACTAGCAGGCGAAAACAAGATATGAGTGAGGGCGTCGAGGGAATGTGTGCAAAACCTTGATATTCGCTCTACATATTGCTTTCTTACACTGACAGCACCCAGGGCCAAGTCAGTACAAACAGAGAGAGCCGTCAAAGGGATGTTGAACAGTCAGTTGAGATGTGCGTGCTGGACCTTCAAACCAAAGTGTACAAGTAAGTTATAGTCGTGATGGAGTAGAACAGAAACCTACTGACCGAACCTATTCTCGTTCTCAAGACACAATGGAGTTTGCTCAGTCATTTAGAGAACGGTCACATATAGATATTCTTTCGGGCTCTGACAACGCAGGTTGGTAAAGCAGGCAATTGTTCCTATGTCATATCTCGTCAACTTACGCAATAGCGTATATTTTAAACTCAATATCTATGTTTGCCAAAATTGGATAGCGAACTAAGTAGGAGTTTCTTTCTGGTTGCACGTGACCTAGCCGTCGTGCAAGTACCGGTAGGCAAGCAGAAATGGGTGATGATCTGAGCTTTGCAAGCCTCTCAGTGCGACCTTCTTCGTTGATTAGTTGCAATGACAATCTTGCCTCCTGGGTGACTTTCCCGCATGCATGCTTTCCCGTGACATCACCTTCGGGAACTTGGGTCGCAACACTTCGTCTTCTTCGAGCCACCACCCACTCGTCTCGACATCATGTTCTTCTGCATAGGAGTATTACAAGAAGACAAAAACTAACGTCGAAGCCGTATCTTTCTCACTTCCCATTATTTTCGATGAGCGCCCCTATCCCGAACCCCGACGACACTCCCACCAGTTTTGTCAGCAACTGGCTCAGCCCCCCGTCACGCAGAAGGCGTCATCTGCTGAGAGTCAGCCTGAAGACTGCATGGGGATTGAGGGACAGCTCCAACCCAAGCCGTGTCGCTGATTGGCTCAAGATCAAGCGCAATGCTAGCTTAGTCATTTCCTAAGGCGGCTGTGTTGGGGAGTAAATGTGATTGAAGTGGGTCCTGATCACGTGAGTATAATTGATCCCCCAAAGCCTTTACAGGACCTCCGTCAACCTGCCAAATTAAAAACCTGTCTCGTGTCACCCCATCAATCCTTCACGTCGACAAACCCTCCTCATCGATAGCATTGATTCACGACTGCAGAACCCCATTACGGTGTACGAATTTCGATGCATCACGGAAAAGTCGAAGCCTCTGCCAATCGGGCTAGTGTGAACCGCGTCAAGAAGGCCAAACCCACTCAAACTCCGGCAGCTAGATACAACAGAAAAGTTTTGCGCTCACTCGAGAATGCCATCAGTGAGGATCCAGAGGCAGATCTCGCCGGTCTCCTTACATCGAAGTACATAGACTCCCTGCAGTCTTTCAAATGTGAGATACAAAGCCTCCAAACAAGGTGATTACGGCTAATCTAGTTGGTGCATCAGCAGTATCGCAGACCTCACCGACAGAAACTCCAAGGTCGAAAATACCATTTCCCGATACCGATATCCGTTCGAGACTTGATGCTTCCAAACCATCTACTATTTTCTGCGAGCTATCCGCAGAATTGGACGGCCTGCTTCGACCCTGCCAACAGCTCTCGGCAAGTATTGTAGCCTTGCTTGCCAAAAGTGAGGTGCTTTACGAAAGTGCATGGGCTGCATCTGTTATGGTGTTCCGGCTCAACGAGAATATTGTCGTCAAGGTGACGAGTGATGAGGGTTTTGCGCTAACCGAACATCGGTCACTGACTTACCTGACAAAACATCTACCCACATTTCCAAGTCCAAAACCCCACGGTTTGGTAGTTTTCGACAACTATTACTTCCTCTTCACGAGCTTCATTCCGGGCATCAGCTTGGAGAAAGTTTGGCCTCAACTGCGCGACGTTGAGAAGCACGCTATCAAGAGTCAACTCGAGACGCTGTTGTCATCATTAAGGTCACTCCCTCGTTCTGAAAGCTCACCACTAGGCGACGTCCAAGAGGGTGGCTGTCAAGACGCCAGACGAGGCGTTCGTCTCAGCTCCAAACCAATCATGAACGTTCAACAGTTTGAAGACTTCATCTTCGCAGGATCTCAGACAGCGTCGCCCCTCTACACGGACCTCTTGCGCAGCCTGATGCCCAGTGGTTCTGCGGCGTGCGTTTTCTCACACGGAGACATCCGCCCCGCGAATATCATCGTGCGTCGATGCGGCGATGGAAGCTTTAGCGTCGCTGGTATAATTGACTGGGAGTCGAGTGGGTTTTATCCCGAATACTGGGACTGTGTAAAGGCAGCAAACAACCTTACACCAAGGGAGCAATCCGACTGGTACGAGTACCTGCCGAGATCCATATCTCCCCGACAGTATACAATCCAATGGCTGGTGGATAGAGTATGGGATCGGAGTTTGGTGAACAGCTAGAATACAATGGTAATGTGACTGACCTTGGAACCGTACCACTGAACCAAATACAAAAGAGGAATCCTTTCAATGCAGTTAAGCATGAGTGAGTACATATAGTTCTGCCAAAATATTGCCCACCCTTACTGAAGCTTACAGTTTTTGAATGAATTTGCAGTTTGTTCTGGACATCGACGCAGGTGTCACCGCTACTCCTCGAAACTCGAATCGAGAATGAATTCCTCCGACAAGGGCTCTCCCTGATGCTCTTGTCCCTCGTCGTCTTCAAATTCCTCATCATCACTATCCTCACCACCCTCACCAAAGTCTTGACCGTAGTACTGTAGCATTTCCTCTTTGCCCGCAACCCAGGTACTTTCGTCAATCGCTCCGCACGTCACCGCAGTATCCCAGATATCAATTACATAGTCTTGGCAATTCCAGGATAAGGCTTCTCCAGGTACTGGGATCCCGTCAATATGCGAGATGAGTATCTCCAGCCATCCTGAATGTATGGAACCGAGGTTCAAGATGGGTGTAAGGCATCTTCGAGAGTTCGCCGGGTTCGTCTGGAGGCGCTGGGCCCTGAAAGGACCATCTTGTTCATCCTGAACAACCTCAAAGACGTTCCACTGGTGCGTGCTTTGGTCGTGAGTAGCAAAGGCCCAATGGTAATAGTTGCCGAAATGCGGCGTGTATATAGCGCAGTGAAGGCTGGCGATATATGTGGTGCCGTCGTCCTTCGAGTCTCCATCCCGACGCTTTCTCGTTTTGTCGTGGTCCTTCGAGTCTTTACCGCGATGCTTAGTCGTTCTGCCCGAGGCTTCGGTCTTGCTCGAGCTCTTGCCCGAGTTCCGGTCTCTCGTGGCGGATGCTTTGGACCTGCGAGATGACATCGGCTGGCTTACAATCTTTGAAGACCGCGATGAATGGAGCTGAGTCTGTATCTGGGAGTTTAAGCGTGCGTTAGCCTAGAACATGCAAGCAGATCGGGCAAGCAAAGAAGATCGAGACTCAAACACCTGTAAGTCGCATAGTACCACTTCTTTGGCAATTCGGGATCAGCTATCACCCTATCTCCGACCTATCGCCCACCAACCGGAGTTTAGTGATGAGATCCCTGGCACCTACCGTCACATCGAACGTACGGAGACTGTCTCTCCTACTTCGGGCACAAGGCGCATGCAATAGGCGCCGATGTGGGGATAAATCGCGTGATTAATCGGACCCCGGTCATCTGTCACTGTTCGCCTCTCACGACACCAAATCGGATCAAAGGATGAAGCCACCCAATTCGCGACAGTCTTACAAGTACACTCTTCCATGAGGGAAACCCAGTTTCTTCCCTCAAACCCAGTTTCTTTCCTCTTCCCGACACTCAGTCATCCAGTCGGTCACCTTATCCTTCACGCAGTACTGTACTTCGCCCCAAATATCCGGCAGTTGATTCCGAGCTTCTCACACTCCTCGTCCAATTCGCCGGTGTGAATGACCAGTTGCTCCGCGGTCTCCTCGATCTGCTCTTGTTGATCCTTCAAATCGTGACACATATCCTCGACCTCACGATACCGCTCCGCGAGCTCTGTATTCCGCCTCCATAGGGTTCTAACCTCCTCTCTCAGTTGCATCGTCTGTTCTTCTCATTGGCCAAGCCGAAGGACCAAGTCGCGAGGCACCATATGGATGTCCGCATCGTCAAATAATCCTGGCTTTCTCTCGAGTCGTCGAGGTTGTTGAAGCTGTTGAGGAAATCGGGCCAATTGCACACTGCGAAAACACTCTTTCGAAGCCTGGGTGCGGGTTTGTGTCGTCCCCACGACGTCGCTTGCGTTGGGAAGAATGAGACACATCGCTCGCCCATCCGGTGTCGCTGTACTCCGGCGGCGCACAGTTATCAGCGGTTCGTCCCATGAAATTAGCTAGATTGTCCGAGACCGTCGGTGGTTTCTGTCCCTCAGACGCTTTCATCGTACTGCGGTTGAGCCCTGACAACGCGGGACTGTGTCGAAGTCGATCGTCGTGGCAGGTGAGTCGATCCTCGCTGGCGTAGTTGATCTGTTGCGTTCCCGGTCCAACCGAGGGATACCGCCTCCATCGCCAAGGGGGAACGCCACGCCACCGGTGCCATTGTGCAGCCTCTGCAGGTCCACCTCGCATCGGTATGACTGAAGCCGGTGCTCGTCTTTCGCCAGCTCCCGAACATACTGCACAGCCTGGGCGCAACCCTGGAGCAGCAGCTTCTTGACTATGTTGCGCGGGAAGCATTGGGAGAACGACGAAGCGGCTGCAAGCGAGGCGACGAAGTCCAAAGAATGCCGGACCGGGCTGTCGTGAGCCCCATGACCGTTGGAGCCCTTCGGCACAACGGATTGCGCGCAGATGCCACTGCGCAGTTCAATGAAGGCGAGTCATGGCCCCCTTGAACCCAGTCGCTGACGCACATGTCCAGGGGTGGGGTTTCGTCATTCGATCCGCAACGATAGGGCGCAGGGAATCGATATGCTCGGGTGTGATTTGCGAATGATCAGTAGTTGTCGGCATCACCGTTGGTGCTTTGACGCTGAGACGGGGAAAGGTCGACCCTGGCAGAACACGACCTGGATGCCGGATCGATGAATTCGGATTGTCGTCCGTCTTGGTAGTCGCGCACCGCATAGGCGTCGACCACTATCGGTGATTATTTGTCCACGCTGGACATGTTGTAGTCGACGACAGCGCGTGCGTGCGAGACGGGGTGGGAAGAGACGGAAGCCGAGGTGTTGGAATCGATGAGGTTGGAGGGTTAGCGTGGATGGAGGGCGATACCGAGGCACTCTATATAGGAGAGAAAGACCGGCAGTCATGGGGCTGATGGGTGGAGATGGAAGCGATTGGCAATTTGTTGCACGATTCCGCCCACTGCGACCGGGACACTATGTCCGGGATGTGTATGATTGGTTCAAGCTTGCCAGATCCGAGCATCGAGCCCCGCAGTGGATGTTGCGCAAGCCCCAAACGGCAGTAGGCGGCAGGTGACTCTGGGAGGAGAAAACCAATCGGCAATAGAAACCTGATACAACTCCCGTTCAGAGGCGACAGGGGCATTCGCCCGGGAAGCGCCATTTCGGCGCCTGCTGCCTGCTGATTCCTGAGTACGAAGTACATACACAGCAAGTCAGTGGAGGCTTTTCGAACAGCATCTGCCTAGTCAAACCCGCGGCTTCATGAGACAGTCAGGCATACTTTCCACGCACGAATAACACCTCCCGGGGTCACAGCGCGCGCCATCGCGCACGACGCCCGCAGGGACGGCGAAGACGTAGTTCACCCAATGAATAGACGGCTGGAACCAACAGTCACTTCACCTTACCCCCCACAGGATCTCGGCCTGCCCATCCACCCACACCAAGCCTACTCTAGCGATCCGTGATAGATTCATGTTCCTGTCATGTTTATTGGTATATATACACACGCTTCCATTCAATGTGGAAACCTCTTGAATTGAAACTATACTATCACATTCCCTGCTAGTCTAGCCGTAATTGAAGCCCGATTCCCAAATACTTACCCTAGCCGTGATTAATATGTAGCTATCTACGTATCCGGATAGTTGTATGTCTCTGGCTTGATTCAATCCTTGTGGTGGATTACAGTGCCCGGCGTTCTGGGGTAGGCCGAGATCCAAGGGGGGAAGTTGAGGTGACCAAGAAACTTGCTCCCTGTCATGGATTGACCAGCATGTATGCACTGTGCGGAGAGCCGAAGCGCCGTCGCATGCACCGCGCTCGCTGGGCACACCGCGCAGAGCCATGTCTTGCCGCACCGATGGAAAGCAGCAGGACACACCGACGCCTGGCGTCAAACAACACAAGAATGAAACTGGCCTCGGTCTCGGGCTGTGTTCGCCGCAAGCTGAAGACCCCTGTTCAGCCGTCGCAGGAAGGGGTGATCCGATTCCGGCGTGTTTGTCGGCTGATGGCACGTGGCGAGGCGGGTCGCTCGAGCTCATGCTTCGACCGCCTAGACAGGATGAGAGATGTTTCAATACAGACGGAAGATGGCCAATCGCGGGGGTCCCGGTTTGACGCGCCTACAACCTGGATTATGCCCAACGTTGGCTGACAGGGGAGCAGATCGCGGAGCCTGCTGGTGCACCGCATCGCCCACTTTGCAGGCAGGCTCCAGCAAGATGCGCCAGAGGCTGCTGGGTTGACCCCTTACCAGGGCAGAAGGTGCTGAAAACCGGGAGGGCCGGTCGTTTTCCCGGCCGGGCACAGCGTGTCTCGGCCTCGAGACCTCCAAGGGTAAGGAAGGCGGCGGGCCGGGAGAATGGCGGACCAGAAAAGGCATCCGCGCTAGCGCTGTGCCTCTGCCGTGAGTGGAAGCGGCTGCCTGCTTCGCGACAAAATCTGGCCGCCTTCATGGTCGTAGCTGTCAGCTTAATTGTGTGATCATGTTGGGTGGCTGCCTTGTATCCTCAGAAATCTGTGCCTCGGATCCTCTCTCAGGGGCACTCTTCGTGTGAATGTCCGTCTGATCGAGAAGACCCCAGCATGCCGTCGGAATCGGAAGTCTTCTCTACATGGTATGTCAGACATAGGTAAGAGCCAAGCGCCGAGACCAGGTAACAATAGACAAGAACATAACTGAAGAACGTATACTATTCTACAGTGATAGCGGCGGGAGGTGAGGATGTGGACACCACTTCCAAGACCGGGAGCATTTGCGAGTGAGAGATTGAGAACGGCCACATAGCCAGCGAGTGAGACGTGGACAGCGAGATTGAATATGATTAGAAGAATTGATCCAAACCCACCCATCATATCGTCAGCCAATGTTGTTCGCCCACCATCGAACAGACAGCCTAGCCGTTGAGGGGTCTGTGAGCCACAGCTCATGGGCAAACCGACACTCTGATCTTCGACTCCTTCGATGAATAGTGCAGCCAGCGTGTTCCGAGACTTGTTTGACAACCACACGCCACTCCACATCGCCCTCCTGCTACGTTCAATCCCACCAGGATGGTCTCATATCGAGGCGTCACTGACAGTATCAAAAGACTGTTCGCTGTTAGGTGGCGATTGTGGTCGCAAAAAGTAGTTGCCGTTGTTGCCTGTTCCTCGTACCGTACTTCCCTGGAGTTCCCTGACAACATTTTCCAAAGAAGTGACTCGCTTTTCAAGGTCGAAGATTCTGGCTGATTGCGGGCATTGGGATTTTGCCTCGCCCTGCAGGCCGTCACTTTTATCAGCGACAGTCGGACCGGAGAGAATCAGTACCTTGGTTCCGGGCACGCTGAGACCCTTCGTCGGGCGGTTTGTCTTCGTACAATCCCGGGTACCGGTCTCGAAGTTCGGGATGTGGTCATGTTTGCCTGACGCCATCTGTACCAACGTCTCTGCTGCTTCCATATCCGCATCAGAGGGAAAACCATTGAAGGGATGGTCGACAATCAGTTGGCTCCATTGGTTCTGCTCTTCCGGCTGAGAACAGATAGGGCGGGTGTTTGCTACAGATGTAAGCTCTCTGTCGAGTCGTTGTCCAGCCACAGGCGAGAAGTGGAAAGGATGGTTTCCGATGCTTGAAAACTGGTGCTGTGTTGGGGCCCGCTGCTCATGAGTCTCACGGATGCCACTAGGAGGCGATTTCTGGCTGTCGGTTTGGTGGGTCTCCTTGTGTATAAAGGAGTCTCCTTGAGCGATACCATTTCCCAGAATGGAGGTTTCCACGGGCCTGAAGTCCCCGAGTGGCTGTTGTTTGGCTGTGTCGTTTGGGGCCGACTTGGTGCATCCAGTTGTGGCTATCGAGCTCTTCGCCGGTGGACGTGGGAGAGGTTTATATTCTATACAGTCTTGAACCTTGTCGCCAGAACTTGCCGACTTTTCGGGTCTCTCCTCCAAAGGTTTGGGTTGTTTCCATTCTCCTGTAGACTCGCAAGACGTGTTCGCTCGTCTTTGGAGAGGCGCTTGTTGTCGGACGGGACTTGCCTCTCGCACAGACGGAGGCGTTACGTTTCCACCCCGGCCTGGTCTCGAGTAGGGTTGCATCGGTCGGCTGAGTTGTGTCGGCGCGGCGGCACCTGCTGTCGGAACGGTCCCTATCGGTGACGGTGTCACCAGTGCAGGTGCGTACCGTCTGATGTCGGGCTCAGTTGACCAGCGGGGTCCGACAAGTGAGTGTAGTGATCGAGAAGTACTCGTGAAGCACGTTGGGCAGGAAATGGTTGATGGATTCGTAAGGTGCCGGAAGAGGGTATACTTCAATACCTGAACGAATGTGAGCAAGACGGCAAGAGGTCTTCTCCCAAGTGTCTCGAGGAAAGAACAGTCATACAATGAAAATTGTAGAGACGTTAGTTGAAGCGGAACAAGACTGATCTGCAGAAGGGAAACTCAGTTGTATGTTGACAGGACTTTATATATGGTGCACAAGGTACTTGGCGCAAGGCTTCTCGTAGGATACAGACCCAAAGACCCACCTCACACAGAGCGTGTCCCGCAACTCCCCGCATCAACTTTTCTTACGTGCAACGATTGCTGCGAACGTCCCAATTATGTTGGTCCCTCAGGCCGGATGAACACCAGGTACTGCAGCTTGTATTGGATAAGACGGAACGAAGACCTCCCCTGGTTTGCTCGTCGACAGCCAGTGTGCATTACGTCCCTTGGGGTGCCCACTTCGGGGCGCACACGCAAGGACTGGACAGCGGTCCATCCAAATGGCCACCAAAGGGAAGCTGGATGTCCCGCGATTGGCCCGCCTGCAGTGTCCACCCCAGGCCGCAGTGAAGCATGGATTCTATTGACAATTGCCCTGGACCCGGGTTCGAGCTTAGTCAAGAAGCAGAAAGCCTCTCAATGTCGCCAGGATAGAGTTCAGATCTCTGGGAGACACCCCGTAAACCATCAAGTCAACAAGTAGCAGACTGAGAGGAACAGTAACAAACGCAATCGCACGGCTGCCAACAAGGCGGAGGAAGCCAAAGCGAAGGCTGACACCAAGGCCCAGAAGGCCGCCGCGAAAGCTAACAAGGCCGAAGAGGCTAAAAGGCTGAAGAAGCAGAGGCAAAGAAGAAGGATGTAGAGAGGCCCAGGGGTCAAGCCGTCCAGACCGAAGGGGCCAAGTAAGAGGCCATGGACCAGTCGAACGACAGTCAGTCTAGCGACGCCGAGGAGGTTGGTGATAAGACGACGTCCTACGGCAAGTGTGCGGGTGGTGCTACCGGCAATTCCAAGGCAGATGGTCCCGCCCAACCCATCCACATTCCTTCACCACCAGCGCAGAAGGGCTACAATCCAGGAAGTCCGACTCGTCCGTTGAAGACACGGGAGGGTTGTACAGTGATGACATGGTCGAGTCTGAGGAGGAGGGCCTGAATCGCCATCTGTATCATGGGCTCTATGGACAAGGGTCTCGAGGTCCGCGTCGTCGTGGAAACCTACGAGCTTCTCAAGCGCGGGATGGGCAAGACAAGAGGCCGACTCGACAACGCTCAAGTCAAGCGGGCGGAGAACGCGAGAGGAATCCTATAGTAACCTATCCAAGCCGAGGACGTCTGACAAAAGCCGTGTCGACTCTACCGACTCTCCGGGACTTCGACGCCAGGCGTCGTTGCTGCGGCGGAAGCGACCCTATGAGTTACGAAAAGAGGATGGATCGATAGCGCGGGAGCTCCTGGGGTCCTCGTACACTATTCCACGGACCGAAATGTTCAGCGGTCCCTCGCTCTGAGAAAGCGGCGCTACGCCCGGGCATGGTCTTTGTGACAGCTTGATTTGGCTGCATCTCGCCACTAGGCCGACCTCAAGGCGGCCTGTCAGCAAACGGGTATAAATTGAATATTGATTTGCAAGCCCATCCTCCACGACGGTGTGCCCCAATGCTGCAGCACCTGAGCCACGCCTTCTCTCAGACCCGCGACAACGACGGAGGACACACTTGTTTATTTCGTCAGGCTTTGGCTGGCTATTACGGCAATGCTCGACAGCCCAATCCATATTGCCAACAGGCCTGATGGACGCTCTGGCGATGCGAGAACTCGCTGCTCCCTGTAAATGGCTACCAATCAAGATACCAGAACCCCGTTGACAATGGCTCTAGCTTCAACAATACTTCCAAGATCTTCTTCAACTGGTTCCGTGCAGGCCTAGGTAGCTCTAGTATCGCCGTCAGCCGCTTGTCCCAGGCCTGGTACGTTAAGACGGTGTCTCTTGCACAGTGAGTGATGCTTTCATCCTCGTCTTGGTGAAACCTCCGACGCCGCAATTGCTGATGTCTTGTCATGGTGCCCCCTGGCGTCGCCGCCGGAAACCTTCATTGGAGCCCGACTGCTGGCTCGCTGTTTGACTGCGCTGTCGCTGTCATTTCATCTAAATGCCCAAATCGTACGACTTCCTCATCCAGTCGTTCCTGCCATTCGCAAGGAGTCGGCGCCCAGTCGCCCCGTGTGGCAATTGCCGACTTCAAGGAAGGCCTACGGTCGGCCCTGGTGGAGGTCCTGCCCCCTTTCCAGCTCCAGCACTGCATCTTCCATGCCGATGCCAACGTCGACCTCAACGTCAAACGGGAATGGCTGGGGGCTGTAGCTGTGGGAGTTCAAGATGAGATGACTTCAATGGACCGTCGGAGCCGCTGCGCTGGCCCGGGAGGAGCTTAAGGCCGCCGCCGCCGCTCTCTTCCACGACCCCCAGGCCACCAGACGGCCATCCTCTCGCGAAACTGGTCGTCGCCGGCTTCTGTCGCTGTAGGCCTTTGTGCTCTACGCTGGGACAGAGGATGACATCGATGCTGCGTGAAGAAAAATTCAGCAGAAATTTGCCGACCAAAGTCTAGCACTGGCATACCTCGCAAACATATACATCTTCCTCCGTCACCAGGGGGGACAGTGCTTCATCAGCGAGGAAGAGAGATTCGGCGTGTGGACTTATTCACCTACCGACATTGCCCGCAAGGACCTGAATTACTGACCACGCTGACTTTTATAGTTATGAGTCGGCCGTTAGTAAATACATAGGGGCTTATTGTTACGATTTGCAAACCAATTCTCATGTTCCATCACATCTTTGTCCTTGAGCAGAAGAAAGCCCTTCATTTCCGGGCAATCCAGCAAGGGAGCGGGCTTGCGATGCCCCAAAAATTCAAAGACGTGTTTTGGTCTGGCAAGTTTGATCACCGTCGGATCGGGAGCTGTTGAGTCTGGCTTTTTGTAAAGATGTAGGGGCGCCTAATGGTCTCCTCCTGCTGCATTTCGACGTATTACAAGTTCTCGTGACGAAACGGACTGTTCCGGTCGCGCAACCATTCGCCGTTCGTTAGGTCGTAAGAACGATACCGGGGAAAGCTCTTCGCCTCTCGGTGACGCTCATGGCGTGTTTCCGCTCTCTGAAGTCACCGTGTCTTTGTGAGAACTTTGTCAATCAAACCATATTGTTTCTCGGTGACACCCAGAGTGTGTTGTTGCTGGTAAACATGTCTAAACTGAGACCCAAACCAAATCTGGACGGCTACATATGCTACCGACCTGCCTTGAGAGGTAGCATCCTCCTGTGCGCTCTTGACGATCTCCTTCTCGTCGAACCTGCAGTCCATGGGTCAATTCTTTGCATGCGCGAGCTATCTCGCCCGAGTTGCCGGCTAGCAACAAACGAACGAGTGCAGGAAGTGTGCTGTATTATTTACCTAATCATTCCCTCCATCAAGCCTTCCTTGTTCCACTGGTAACAACATCTACGTTCATAAATATCTATAAGTTGTTTGCTTATGTCTAGCTGAGCTTCTTACAGGCCGAGGTCCCATGTGCCAAATGTCACAATCGCCTACGCTACCGATACGGCTTCTCCTCCCGTTATACCTCGTGCAAATAGCTGCATGAGCAGAAGATGTCCTGTGCTAAAGAGCTCATCGTCATCCTGGATGTTGTACTGATACGGAACTGCCTTATAGAATCTCGTTAGCAGGTGATGCATACTATGTAATCTACGCGAGAAAACCCGGATGCGCATGGATGTAGCTCCTCATGACGTTTTACCATTTGACAAGCCCCTTCCAACTCAGATGGACGATTTCGTCAACTTAGACGAGGGGCCCGGAACAGAAAAAGTAGAGACTGATACATTGCAATCAAAGTTTCTTTTACTCTATCAGGAAGATCACATGGACTCAATAAAGAGAGTTTCGCTGCGGCTGCTTACTGTTCTAAACCTAAATGTCCGCCACGCTTTCACGGGTTCTCATGCCATTTGTCAGGACTTATTAGACTCTATCCTCGAAAATTCTACAAAGAACATGATTATCCAGGCCATCTCCTTGAGAAACGGTCAAGCTCAGTCTTCATCAGTCGTTACAGTGATTGAGACACTGCTACGACTTCAACCACTATTGCGACTCATGAACACTGGTCTCGACTGTTTTCTGAATCAAATCAGCCATCGTCAGGGCGTGAAAGGCTTCCAACACTCGAACCTCATCCTGGCCTTCTGGAAGGACAACGTCTCTTTCACACATGTACTTTTTGATGTACTCCCTGCCCTTCTCATTCCAATAGTCCCGAAGTTTTGACACCTCAAGACCGAGGCCATCCTTGAGGTAGGGAGAGACGCAGGTCGGCACATCAGGGCAAGCCAACGCGCAAATTTGCGCCCAAGTCTCCGCCTCACTGAACCCCCTCATCGTCACTTCCACCATCCCTTTCAGCTGGTTCCCATCAACACCTTCGATTCTCGTAGGGTCTTGAATTTCGCAAATTAGTTTGCGGATATGCTCGTCTCTGGCCATGGGTGTTTTGAAGATGATTCGGCAATTTGGGCAATATGGCGACTTCCAGTGGCATTTTCGGATATGGTCCACAACATCTTCCATCGTTCGCAGATCGTCTTCCCGTAAACATTGCCGATGGTCAGCAGGTTTCGTTGCGTAGAATGGACAAGCGAGATGGAAATAGCCGTCGATAGTAATCTGGATATCGTTCTGAATATATTCGATTTCCTCGAAATCCGACTCCTCGCTCGCGCAGTATGAACTTGAGTCCGCGATCTTGAGTCGTTTTCGTGACAGCCGGCTACCGGTAGGTGCAACGTACTTCGCTGAACGTGCCCAGTCTTCAACCCGTACAGCAAAGTGGCGTAGGAGGCCCTCGCGCTCAGTCTGATACGGATGATTCGATTCCAGTGAGGTTCTTTCACGCGCATCAACTTGGCTGGGCGCCTCCTCCTCGTACTCGTCGCCGGAATGAAGACTGTCCAAGTCTGAAGCATCCTCGGGGTAGCTACATGAGCTGCAAGCGTTGTCATGCAAAAGGTGGTGTGAGATGGTGTGAGTGATTCCAAGCTGGACGCCTGAGTGTTCGTTGGGAGGAGTTCTGAGTTGACCCGATCTCTTCCTCTTCCTGCACGAAATACTAATGCTTTGAGACGTCTCGGCATCGATGTTGCAGGCTGCGATAATTCGACAAGGCCTCGAAATCTTCGAACCCTCCATAATTTCTCTCGGATTAATCCGAACGTATCTGTTCTCCCACATCTGGATACGTACGCCGAATCGTTTGTCGGACGTCCGTCCTATTTCGAGTATGAGAGAAAGGTCTTCCGTTGATGCCCTAGAATCAAATATCAGACCCTTGCTACTGAATTGAATATTACCGTCGAATTTCCACGGCTGCTGTGGCCAAAAGGCCCTGGGCGTATCGTTATCCGTAAGATGCCTAAATTCCGTTGCGGATCGTGGAAGGAAACCCCGAGCGACCTGGTCATCATTGCTGGTCCAGGCAAAGATTGAGCCATCGGTGCTCTCTTGTACGATCTTCTTCACGAGTCGAGCAAAGGCAAGCTCTGAGCCTTCGCCGTATCTGATGGACATATTGACTCCGGTGATGCCGGTTAAGGAGTATGCAGTGTCCTCGGCGTGAGTGGATTCTCTTCCGGCTGCCCACGATAGTCTGACTCCGATTGCAACCTTTGAAAAAGCGGTGCTGTTGACCAAGATGTTCCTGTCAATTCGGGTGATATTTTGGAGCAGTTCAAGAAGTTTCGGTGAGGATTTGGCTCCCTGGTAGTTCCAGGCGGCATCGAAAAATTCCACGTTTGAAGGTGCAACCAGCTCTTGGAGCGTCCAGCTTCGCGTCCAGTACCTGCAGCGGCCCCAAGTTCCCTCGAGCAAATCAGAAGAAGGGGGGAGGTCTTGAAGGTAGACGAAACACACAGCTGCCGCTTGCAGCAGGCGAAAAGAAGAGCTGATAGAGTGCTGCAGCTCTAGAGATGAGGTCTTGTCGATGCACACAGATCCAACCCAGAGAAATTCCAAGCCGCGGACGTCAGCCTGGAGGCAAGCCTGCAAAATAAAATTGTCCAGTTGCACAGATGGTGGCTGCAAGCGATGTTCTTGGCTGTGTGCATGCGACAAGACGGCGAAAGGAGGAGGGCTGACATCGTCGAACTCCAACAAACGGTATGACCGTGTATGAATAAGTCTCATGGTCGTTTTTGTCACGAGTTAGAGTACACAGCAGTGGGTATATGAAATGGGTAGAAAGTGGCTTGTGGTAACCCAAAGTGAATGAAGGGAAACATCGAGTCTATATACTGCGTGAAAGTGGGGGACATGTGAGAAAGTAGGTGGTTAGAGCTGCTGCGCTCTGGCGGCATCTGACACTTGAGGAGGAAGCTGACGCGCAATTGCGCAAACAGCCAAATGTTTTAGCCAAGCGAATCAGAGTTCCTTAGCCGCCGGCCAATGTTTGGCAATCAGTCGTGTTGCGCTTCTCCTTCCGCCTTCCAAATCTGACCCATCAACGGGTAATCAGCTACCACAGGGCAGGATGACACTTCCTCAAGGGATCGATAGAATATGTCGGACTAGCATCACCACAGACGAAGATGTCTACCACTTGTTTTCTCACGCGGCACTCTTTATCACGCAGGATAGCGTTCATCCTCGTCGGTTGTGCATGTCGAAACGCGCAACTGCTCGTTTCCACAACGTCGGAGCGCAATGTACACTGACGAGACGCCCGCGGCCAAATTTCTACCACGCCTTCCATAACGCGAACCATTCCTTTCCGTTCGCCAGGCCATTGCCTGGGAGATGAGCGCAGCTGCTCAAAAATTTGCACTCAATTGCGCACATCCGCGTTGCGCGATGGTCGAGGGACACTGGAATAACCCGAGCTCATCCTGGCCCTTCGTCCGGCTTTTGGTCATGGACAGGACCCCAGAGAATGTGGTAAGAATGGACTGTCGATCACGAGCTTTGCGCAATGACTGAAAAAAACGCTATTTCAAAATACATACCTGGGGAACTGGCTACTGCTGCCGCCTGCGGAGTCAACATCCATTGACCATGCACTGACGCGGGACGATCTGTCGAGGCTACATGATGAACTGCATCCTCAGCTTGGAGAACCCCAACCCGCCGGAATTCCTGGGTTGGTACTCATACCAGGTTTCCCATGGTCAACCTTGGGGTATTTGAAACCACGGAAATGGTTTGGATACTGTACTTTAATATACCATGTTCGTCAACTCCGCCCAATGGTCGACGCAATCGACCTACGATGAGCCTGCCATTTCATCTGGGCAAGGTACTGATGCTTGCTATGGAGAGACGGCTCAACCGGCATCTGACCAAACCCTAGACCCAACTAAATGCAGGGTTAGAATTGCAAGCGTGCGAGATCCCTAGCAAAACCCTTGGACTATGGAACGTCAAGCAGGCTCAAAGAAGGCGGAGGAGGACCTTGAAGGCGGAGAAGCAGAAGCACTGCCTTGCAAAAGACTGGTTTGTCCCTTCTACAAGTTTTATCTAGTCACACACTTCCACTGTGCTCGATTCCACTTGAAGAGGGTGAAGGACGTGACAAGGACAATCAAAAGTATAAGGGACATGTTGGTGCCTTGCAATGCCACAGCGGAGCCAGCCCGCAATCTGCTGCGATTGATGAAGGCATCAGGTAAGCGATCTCTTGAAGAAAGTGAATGGCGGTAATTCATGGTACATAATCTGGGACATTTTGTTTCCAGGACACGCTGTTCCGGCCTCGCCATTCTTGAAGAGCGGCGTGGAGGAAGTCAACTCCACCGTCTGCGACTTGTGGGAGAAGAATGGGTCCAAGGTCCTGTCCTCTCTCAACGACGCCTCCTTACCGACGAATTCGATAATCGACGCAGAGCGCACCAAGGCCTCCGGGACCTTCCCTTCCTCGGGGCCGTCTGCCAATGGCAATCTGTTGCTGATCCTAAACAAGCTCGCAAAAATCAGTGCCACGCAGAGCGAGGCCGAGGAGATGTACCCCCCACAATCGCTGCTCTGCTTTTCGACGTCTGCGACGAACTCGCCGTCCACCTCCTACACGACGACGTCCTCGACCACCCTTGATGACGGAGAGAGATGGCAGCTCGGTGACGGGTTGTTGTCTAATCCTCCTCTCAAAGTGGAAACCCCGAGCTACGCGAGATCGAATTCGAAGAGGAGAGCCGAGAAATCACGAAACGTTGGCGGAAGAAGGATGGAAAGCTGAATTTCAAGTTTCTCCATACCGTACTTTTTTCTGCCTCAGCAATAATGGCTTTGTTTTGGAAACTCTTGAGAGAATACGTAGGCTTCCTTCCATCCACTCTTGCCTCTGCAAAGTAGTTATCAATATGCATTCACAACAGATCTTGAAGTGATATGAATCTGATTACAATAAGACGATGCTTGGCTGTTTGAGTTCCTAGATCAGACTGTCTGCCACCAGCAGCTCATAGATTCTACATTGCTACCACGTGATAAAACCCACCTTTTCAACCTAGCCCGCACATCGATTCCACGTGTGGCCAGGCAACAAGGTACATCAAGTCCGTAACATATAAAAGGTGGCACCACCAGTTACGGATGAGGACTTCCCCTTACAGAGTATTGAATCATTGCACGTAATGTTTCCATGCTACGTTTTCTCAAGTGACAGTCTTGCCGCGTATTGCGCACTCTCACTTCATAGTAGCGTCACGCGGTTCGAAAAACGGATCATGGGTCAGGCTGGGCCGAACCGAAGTTCAACTT